AACATAGTTACTTGTTTGTGCTATAAAATGGCACTGTGTGCCTGGAAAAATGCATAATTTAAGAATGTAGACTGAATCCAAACACACGTTTTAATCATAAAGTGCTTAAAACACACTTCATGATCTGTAAAGTCTTAATAGAATCTTAGGTTTCACTAAAACTAATTATAAAATAATATCAAAAGCTTTATGTACTGCTTAAACAAGTCAATGAAAAATCGTATGGGAAGACTGAGTGCCTAACATGTCTGTCAGACTGTAAGAGTAAATTTGAGAAATAATCTGCTTCTTAACATTTTCCCACAGCAATCTAAGACATGTTTAAACACCTCCAAAACTTCTGTATTAACAATATCAATGGTTTGAGAGCACTTTAAACATAAAAACATCTTAGTTGAATTATTCATGTTGCCCAGTGAACTGTTAACATGTAAAGACATATTCTGTTTCAAGAATTATTTAATCCATTGATTTTCTGTCTGACTCTGCAGATCAGCTTGAGCTAATGGAAGGATAACATTATCACATGATGCTTAGTGCCACAAATTATAAATGATTGTTGTTCAACTTATAAGGGGATTTCTATCAAGGAAAAAAAAAACACCAGGAGGATAAAATTATTGTACATCGAAAACATCAGAAAGATCAGGTTACTTAGGGTCATGTGAACGTGGAGACTACACTGTCTGAAGATGGCGGACATCCTGACTTCTTATACCTTTATGTTCAAGTTTAAGCGTTTTTCCATTCATGTTATTTTGTCTTCTTAATATCAATAAAATCTGAAATTTATTCTTTAGCATGCATAGAGAAAAAAGTAAAACAAAAAAAAGTCTTGTATGGTGATTTCATGTTTGAGCCTGACTTATTTTCAGTTCCCTTGTGGAATCACTAAATGCCTTACGCTGCAAACAGGATGTCGTCTCTGTTCCCTTGTTCTGAGAGCAGCAACATCTAAAGATCACAGTTTGGTAAGTGAATTTGCAGAAAAAGCTTTCACTAAACTCACATATGAACTTTCAATAACTGTAATTCTAATCTGTGAAAAATAATCTGTATCAACATATTAATAAACTGAATAAATTTAATATTTTCTTTCAGCGTCACCTTACAAGTGAAAAATCTTCTATTTCTATCTTCTCATTGTTAATTTTCCGTGCAATTTGCAACAAGCAAACCGCACAGAACTGTATTATTTTTCTACATATCCTAGTTTCTTCCCACAGTTTAAATCATTTATGATAAACGAATTTATATTTTTAAATTGACTGTATTTTGTGTGATTGTGTCTTGTCTTATGATGGACGGTGGACAGTTTCCATCCGTCATTTGTAGCCCTTCCTGGCTTTGTCTCATCTGTTATTTAAGGGGCACTGAAGTCGAATTTGGTCACTTTTCTAAACTATTTTCTTTCTAGATCTTAGGTAGGTCATGCTAAAGCACAGTAACAAAATCTAAATTGGCATTTGTGGTTTGATTATGTCATATTCAATTAAAATTTGCAGCTGAGGGAGCAAAATTTTGTTTTGAAAGGGTATTTTTTGTGTGTGATATTTGTGTTTAGGCTGGCGGCGTATGATGCTTCCATGTCAGTAATCTGAAATTGTTACAAAAAAGTGAAAGAAAAAAACTTAAACACGGCCTCTGAAAATGTGTAGTGTCGACGGTTTTATTCTTATAAATCTGTAAATGAAACAGCGAAATCCCCCAACATAAAAAGCTGTAAAAGGCTGAACAAAAGAGAACTGAAACCTAATTTAAATACCAAATGACTAAAATCCAGATTAAATGTCCTCACTTTCAGAAATATTTCACTTTCAAATCAAAGACTTGACGCACATGAAAATTGATCATCTTGCTCCATATTCTTGACTCTAAAAGGCCAATGTCACCAAAAGGGGATAAATTACAGTTCCATGACAGGAATAAGCTGCTGAATATATTTTATAAAATTTACTATATTCTTACCAGACTGAGCAGTTTAAATCTTTAATTTTTCCCAGGCAAGGCTTTCATGCGACTGCGTGAAGTGAACTCTGAATCCTCACTTTTAATAGCTAACAGCCTGTAGTTTTAGACCTGTTAAGCCATCTGTAGTCTCTCAACTGTGTGCAAAGTAATATGCAAAGTCTGTAGTGCATTGTATGAACTGGGACAGGATTAGATTGATACTGATTGGACTATATTCAAGATACAGTTTTAAGATTGTGGTTTCTTCACTGGAGTAACTGGCTATACAGATGGATGTCAAAAGAAAAATGGCAGTTTTCTTTAAAAATGCTGTGCTGTACAGGAAAAAAGATGGTTTTCAGTAATGCACTATTGCAACTGTGCACAACACCATTTCCTTCACTATTTTGACTGCTGCTACTCAGCATGGCCTCCTATGGTTTCTTTACTTAAAGAAACAGCACTTATTCTCTGACAACATGTTGGATTCTGACCTAGGAACTCAATAAACAAGGCAAACACTTTCCCTCTTCTTTGCAGGTGTGCATTATAGAAGATCCTGTGACGTTACCAGATGAAGATCTATGGCGGCTTGACAAAATGGATGACTTGAATAATTTCACCTATTCTTATGATCAAGACTATGGAGGTGAAATTTGTGACATGAAAGAGTTTATAAACTTTGTAAATGTGTTCATCACAGTTGTGTCCTCAGTGGTGTTTGTTGTGGGGATCCTGGGGAATGGATTGCTGCTGGGTGTACTGATAAAGAGCAGAAAGGTCTGGAGGGCAACAGACACTTTCATCCTTCACCGAGCCGTGGCAGACGTCCTGCTGTTGGTGACGCAGCCCTTTTGGGCTGTGCAGTTTGCCAGTGATGCTGGATGGGTGTTTGGGTTGTTCTTCTGCAAGGTCACTGGAGGTGTTTTCAAGGTAATTGCTGTACAGTAAGAAATACTGTGTAAAAAATGAAAACCACTTTCTGTGACTGATTTCTTTTTATTTTCAGATAAATTTATATTGTGGGAGTTTTCTTGTGGTGTGCATCAGTGTGAGCTACCTCCTCTCAATCATTCCTTCAACCAAAGAGTTCATGAAGAAGAAGCCCTGGGTGGTTCATGCCTGCTGTGTGGTGGTGTGGATCATCTCCGTTCTCCTCTCTGTCCCTGACTGGATCATCTATACAGTAATGGGACAAGAAAAAAGTAGATGTATTTATGATATGGATGTCGGTATCCATAACATTTCACTCGGGCTGTACTACACATTTGGATTTGCGTTTCTCTTAGTCGTCCTGGTCTTTTGCTTCTTCTGCATCATGTGGCAGCTGTGGTGTGGCACCAAAGGCCTTCAAAATCAGAGAGATTTCAAAGTTGTAGTAGTTGTTGCTGCAGTTCTCTTTCTCTGCTGGGCACCGTTCAATATTACTGTTTGGGTGTACAACAATAGTGTACATCATTGTAATAGATCTCTGAACATAGCTTGGCTTGTAACTTCTGCTCTGCATCACTTCCACTGTTGCCTAAATCCCATTCTGTTATTGCTTGTGGATGTTAAGTATCGGCAACAGCAGCATGTGTACCAAGACATCGAACTGACAGCTCAGTTTTCTTAGAAGCTACTAGACTACAGCAGCTAAGTGGGAACACAATATTGATGAAGTAACATTTTATTTTATCTGCCTCTCATAGCTTCTTCTTTTCCATTTTCTGGCAACCAATCAACACTGGTGAACTAAAGAAAACATTGAATATGCTGTGATTTGTTTGTTTTTTTTTAATTCTTTTTACATTTTAACTAAATAAGTGTTTTTGTACTTTGTTTCAGCACCACAATTATACAACAGATGGTTTTGAGACATTAGCATAAGGTAAATGAAAACGTATCAGTTTATTGAGAGCATTGTTTGTGTCCGTGAGGTTTTTTCTGATTTGAGCCCGACTGGGAGTTCAATTATCCATTCAAAGCCATATTGAGCGTTCAGTCCACAGCCTTCAGTCCACATGTCTCTAATCATTGCAGTTTTCCATCGATCATAAATGTGGCATTTTTTTTATAGTTATCTTCAATTACAAAATCATTTAGCTTTGCAAGAAAAATGTTAGAGAAGAAAAAAAAGGAAAGTCACAAAATTCTGATTTGTATCCATCATTAATTCTGCAAGTAAATTTTAAATGTTTTATTTTTTTAATCAGAGCTGACCAGAGGTTATAAATGAAGTGTTTGTGTTCTGAAAATGTTAATCATAAAACAAATTGGGGTTGGCACTCCTTATTTAAATCACAAATTCAATGATGATTAGCAAAATTTTGTTTCAGAGAATAAAAGACAAATAGTGCTTGCTGTTCATTTTTATATTCAGAATTAAGCTCAATAAGTAAAATATGCGTTGACGAAATGTTTGCTTAAATAAATGAAAACCTAGATCAATAAAAAGTATTTTAACAGACACATTCTTAATTGTAAAAATAAATGTTAAAAGCTGACATCTGCCAGTTATGGTAAGAACAAAAAAATAAATAAAAGCCTACAAAAGTTTAATGTTTCTATGAATTTCCTCTGTTGCAGTTTGCTTGTTCCCCTGGTGCCTCAGTGGGTTTCCTCCAGTTTATTCCCAGATCTCACAATGATTTTTTTTAAAGTGTATTAATTAAGAACATACTTAGTGTGTGGGAGATGTTTGGCCTTAAGATGAACAGATGTCTCCACTGTCTTTCTCCCCCTGCTCCTAGTTTTAGATCAGTTTGTTTAAGAAAATAATTTGCTATTATTTGAAGTTTATTGCAAGAAGTGTGTGATAGAATACACACGTATACAGTGTAACAAAATCCTCCGCAGTGTAGTTTAGTGGTGTGACATTATGTTGTGTTTCAGCAAGACACACGACATAAAAATACGTAAAACACTTAAAAAAAACACATGCATTCACCTTCACAATCTGCTGTAAATGTCACTTAACATTCATTTGTAAATAAAAAGTTTATGAATCTGTATGCTGTGAATTCTTTTACTTCGCCATCTGTTCCCATCCGTCACACAGGCAACGATATTCATCCGAACCTTTACAGAATAGAGTGACAGGAAATGGTTTTTAGAGGGAAAAAATCCCCACCAAGTAGCATTAAAACTTTAACAAGAGACAGCTTCAAACAGGGACAATGTAGGAAACCATCAGTAAAAAGATAAACGGTGAAGAGTCATTACTTGATTCTGAAAGGCCTACAGGAGGGAAACTAACAGAAAATGGGCAAACAAATCAAACACCCCAGAAACACGGGATCAGTGAAAGTGTACAGGACATTAAAGAACAAACAGCACCACCATGTGGCAGCTAGCAAGCGGCACAGACAGGTTTTTTTTTGTTTGTTTTATTCTGCAGGTGAAAGTTGCTTCGTCTACGACTGAAACCTGAACAACCAAATACATTTTGGGGCAGTAAGAACATATAGTAAAAAAAAAAAAAAAAACATGCATTCACCTTCATAATCTGCTGTAAATGTCACTTAACATTCATTTGTAAATAAAAAGTTTATTTATTGCCCCTGTTATTGCTGATTAGAGCAATAAAAGTGGCAGCACTGAGTTCTTATACACCGGGAACAAACTTTCTCACAGATGTGAATGATGGAAGTTTCTATTAATTCATCAGATGGAGGTCAAGGTGTTCAGATCTGGCAGATGACGTTGGGGTTGCTTGCAGTCTGACAGAGTATGAAACTCGAAGCAGTGTCTGTTCCTGTCCCAGAGTTTCATCGAAACTGGACACAGAAAAACGGGGCATGCCTTTTTTCCCCCCAGTAGTTTAGATTTCTACAATGGTATTTTTCTCCGTAAAAATAATATTTTGAAGTTATGTGGGCCTGCTTCATTCAATATACATAAGACATTCAGCTGTGATGTGAAGTTAGGAGGATTTTGCAGGGCTTTTACGTGTGAAAAGCCATTTAGACACTTTACACACTTCTGTGGCAGAAAACACCAGGAACTGTCTGAACAGGTAATCTTGTTACACCATCACTCTGCATGTTTATCAACTGCCATCTCAATAATCACTGCACGTGTTGACATGCACAAAACTCCCATAATGTTAGATTTTGAAGACCACTTCAGCCATTATTTGACATGCACAAGTGTCTTTACTGTAATTCCAAAAAACAAATGACATACAGACAGACAGGATATGTACGCCAGCCCATTTGTTCAATATTTTGACCATTATTTGAGGCATTGCTAATTTATTGTGACCTGGTACAGGATTTGTGCCAAGAATCTTTCTGTATCCTTTCCAGTCCCACTTTCCTTGGATAAATTGTACAAATAATGAGAAACTCTCAAAGCTTTCCGTATCTTTGGAGTGTTGCTGTCACCAACTTTACTCCAGGAGCTTAACATTTCAGTTACAAAATCAATAAACAACTTTCGTCAGACAAGTTCAAACAGGAATATTTTACTGTATGTGATTTTTCCAAACTTCCTCCAAGTACAGTTTATATAAGGACAACATTATTATATATAGAAATTACATTTAACCTAAAAATATATAGCCAAAGTTTCAATTCTTCTGTTTTGTTGTCTTTGGGGGAAGTTTCACAATATTCAATTTCTGCGATTTAAAAAATGTTTGTTGCTCTCCTTACTTTTAACTCCTTACTTTTAAGATCTGAATTGTTCTTCGGATCTGTCTAGTGAAACATTGAGCTTTGACAAGAAATGTTTTGGTGACTTGCTAGCAGAGCTGTGTAAAGAATAGAAACCACAGATTTGATCTGTTAAAATGTACTTGCCTCAACTTGAACAGTACGGTTATTCTCTCTCACTCTTTGCTGCTTCAAGATAAACAAAATAAGACAAAGACAAAACTGAAAATGATGCAGTTTTTATTATTATTACAGTTACAGTCATTGCATTCTTGCTCATAAGGCCTGGCGTGACGCAGCAGCACCGTTCCCTTGTGGTCAGGATTTGATGTCCAACCCACCAGAGACGTGTTTTTATTTCTGGTCTGGTACGGCCACAAGAGTTCTCGTCGCTCATCCTTCTGTTTAATCTCGCTTTAGACTAAATCTAACTTCTGGTGTCCAGGTTTGTGAACTATGACATCTGTTTACAGTTTGATAAGTTAATATTTCACGTTTTTAGATTGGCCTCATAAACCATAGTGGAAACACAAGCTCGTATACTGTTATTTGAGTTTGCTTGAATAACCAATCTAGTTTTTATTTTACTTTCCTTATCTAGTGCATTTTATGTTTATAACAGTACATAAAGTACTGGGAATCGATTAACCAACTGCTAGTCATTTTATGATTTAAGTATTGCTTTGTCTTGAGAAATGTGCAAAAATCCCAGTAGCATCATTTGAAAAGCTCTTAGAAACTTATGCAAAGCAACTCGCAGTTGCTGCAAAATGGAGGCTCCATAAAGTACTGAATTTCAGAGGGTGAATAGCAATGTATGTTCAACTGTTTTTGTTATTTTGTCCCATTTATCGTTTCCTTCACAATAATGGGCTGGAATGTGGCACCAAAGCAAAGCGCTTTGTTTCTCTAATATGACACCTGTGGTAGACACAGTTGACCGTAGAGGAGAAGAATGAAGAAGAAAAACCTCTCTGGATGAAGCTGTGATGATGACTCAGACTTTGAGTTACTTTCACTGCAGCCTCAGTCCCATCAGTGCATATTTTTTTTAAGATATGAATATTCAACATTAACTGCTGAAGTTCCGTAAAAAGACAACTGATAGTGCAATTCTCTGACATGTTCTCAGTTTATCAGTACACATCGGTTCAACACAGACAACAATGATTCAGTAATGTTCACAATGCATTCACATGTTCCTCTTTCCATTTACTGACAGGGTGGCAGTTCAGCCCATTCACATCCTCTGGAAGAAGCATAAAGTATTTCTGGATCCACACCAGTCAAGAAAGTTATTTAATAAGTTGAGCAATGCCAGATATACTGATTGGTTCAGATTGTCCCAGAAGAATTAACACTTGATTTCTACTTCAGACATGAGAAAAGACAAGCAGAGGTCTAATAACTAGTGAGGGTCTAATAAGTGTGCTCATGATAGTCTCATAAAAGTGCATGGTATATTTTAAACAGTCAAAGTTCAGCATTCGTCTGTAGCAATGTTGAATGTTGATCCCAAAGGAACTGGGAGAAATTTGCACATTTTAAGGAATCCCCTCATTCACCTTTTCAGTCTTTTAGAGCAGCGTTTCCCAATCCTGGTCCTCAAGGCACACTGCCCTGCATGTTTTAGATGTTTCTCTGCTTTAACACACCTGATTCAGATGCAGACTGATAATCAGCTACTGAAATCAGGTTTACATAAGCAGGAAAAGATCTAAAATATGCAGTCTGCATTGAGGACCAGGGTTGGGAGACACTGTTTTAGAGGATGTCTGGATCATTCATATTATTTGAATGAAACATTAAAAGTCAGCGATGTCAATTCAAGGGAAGCTGAGAAAGTAATCAATGTTTTTGCATAAATTAGAGGAAATCCTGCACAACTAAAGGCCATCATCTGGAGCTTGGTTACTCCAGATTAACAATAGCCATTGTTTACTCCTGATTAAAACATGAAGAATGCAAATCAAAGCATTTAAAGGAAGCTGACCCAAAGATAAGGAGCTTTAGTTTTGAATTCAAAACCACTTCCTATGAAACAATATTTTACGTAATTGAATCCAAAGTCCATTCCCAAACTATTTCCTGATTTTGTCTTTTAACTCAGATCATAATTTGTGGATTTTTTTTCAGCAAATTCAAGAGGAAGATGTTTTTTTATATGTATTGAAAAGTTTAAAATAAGAAGGGGCAAATTTCAGTCATGCTTATTGCTTTTACAAAAACAGGTGTAAGAAATTTCCTGTACAAAATGAAGATAGAACAGGCTCTACTGTGGCTATATGTGACATAAAATAAAAATGAAAATGCACAACAGTTTACCTTCGCTAGTTTTATTCCAAAATTAAAGATGAATCTTCTTGAAAAGGCTCAAATTGGCCTTTGATGTAGTAAACCTTGTGAGATAAAACAAATTAAACTGGATTTAACTTTGTACAGTTAAAAAATAGTGAATTCTTTTTTCCAGAATATTTCAGAATAGTTCAGTACTCAGTGTGGTGAGACTGTGGCTGCTATGTAAGTTTTAGTCGTGTGTCTGTTTCTCCCGACCGCAGGCCAACTCCCCGCAAATTCCAGACTCTGCTACTGACAACAAGACGGCACAGAATCATGTAGGCATTCAGCTTTTCTGTCAAGCTTTTGTATCAAAAACCACAAATGCAAGGACGAATATGCATTAGGAACAGAAACATTTTACATGCATTTAGCAAGAGTTGACTGTTTTAGAATCCTTTTGATTCATAAAAAGGATTGATTGATTGATCAGTATTTTTTCCAACTTAAGGGTCTGTGATAGTTTTGATATCTGACATGTGTTTTCACTATATTCATTGGTCCTCCTTAATGTCTGCAGTCTCAGACAGTATTCTTGCCATGTTGGTGTTACTTTTACTTTCTACTTTCACTTTGCTCCTTCTGGTTCTAATTTGTTCTTCTGTATGCCTAAATTACCTTTACTCCTTTGCTCCTTCAGTTTAATATAAAGCCAAGGTTTAGTCATAGCTCTCTCGGATTACCACATCCGGCCTTATCGGGGGGTTTTTGTGCTTCCTTTTGTTACATTTTGGCTTATATTCAATTGCCATGTTCCTTCCTATGATTAAAGCTATTTTAAATTTCTTCTACCTGCCTCCATCTTTTCAGTTCAGCATTTGGTTTGGCAGTTTCCAACCTTGTGACATTTTGCACGTTGATATGTTTCCATGATGCTGGGTTCATGCATAGCAACTAAAAATATACTCTGCTCAGCAACGCAGTAGCTGTTGCAGCTAACATAACTTCAAGATAACCTCATGCAGTGTCTAAAGGTCAGCAAATAATTGAGAAATTTCTGATGTTTAAAGGAGTTAGTTTAAAAAAAAAACCCTTGATGACATTCTGAGGAAATCATTTACATCATTCAAACAGGAAGCCTGACAAAGGTGTAAAAGCAAACTCACAACCTAAACCACATCGGTACAGCAGGAACAGGCAGCTATATGTAACAGATGAAAAAAGTGTGCTCCAGTATAATGTGTAACATTTAACTGATGCTAAAACAAAAACCTTCAACAGTGTGTCTCCACTGTTTCCACTTCATTTACATTAAACGCAAACGTTTCCTTCCAGCAGATTGGGGGGATTTGAGTTGGCTCACTGTAAGCTTGTTGCTCCTGAAGGAGCCAACAGCTTAGCATTGTGAGCTCTTCCTCCCTTGAGACGTCTGTATTCAGTCACCCTGGTTCTGCAATGCCAAGTAAACCAACCAGGTTTCCCTTAATTGCAAACTGATTGTTCAAGTCAATCATCTGACCTTTTGACGAAGGCCGAATGCGCATCTGACTCTGACAAAAGCTAGAGATGCAAAAGCAGCGTAGTCAGTGTGTCTGCGGTGCAGCAAAGTGTTTGGTTTCTTTATGTCATTTTGTTTATGCATGAAAACCTTCAGCGCTTGGCGACAATGAAAGCGGAACAGTGACGAATGTGCACAGAGCAACAGATACCTTATACAGGCATTAAAATCAGAACCCACCCCTGACCTGACTGTACTTTCCAGTCACTCCATATTTAAACCAGAGAATCCTGAAATAGATGTAGCTCTTATTTTACTCTCGTCTTAATTCAGCAAACCTGTAGGTTTCCTGATGAGGCTTTTGATAGCAAGTTTTGGTCTGTTGTACTTTCTTTGTGAGGCTGATTAACTAAAATGGCAGTGTTGCCTCACAGCAGAATGGAAACACGATTTTCAAGATTTTATTTTCAAATGTAAATCTGCAAAGTATGGCATGGATTTTTATTCAACCCCTTTTAATCTGATACCACTGAATTAAAAGCAAAGAACAAGTAGAACCCACCTGAATGTAATTTATCCTCACTATTAATCCATATATTTCTATTCTGTGAAGGCGTCAAACATTTGCAAGGGAACAATGTTGAAATAGTCAACATCACAACGATACCTGAAAGGTCAGGGATACATTTAAGAAAAGGCTTGAAGTAAGGTTAGATCATTGAACATCTCACTGAGAACTGTGTAACCAGAAGAGCATTTCACAAATCAAGCAACATCATGGTTGTCTACTTAAACTGACAGACGGAGCAAGAAGAGATTAACCAATGAAGGTCCAAAGCAGAATCTGTCACCATGACAACCTTTAGTCATGCGCTCCGTAAATCTAGCCTTTATAGAAGAACATAAGGAGACATGAAAAAAGAAAGTCATCGGACGTCTCACTTGCACTTTCCCACAAACTATTAATGGACATAGTCGACATGTTGAAAAAGATGCCAAAATAAGAGCAAAATTAAACTTTGAACAACATGAGTGGACAGTAATGCATGTTTTTCAGATGTTAGTTTTTTGTTGATTTGTGTCTGTCTACACCATTAAACCACAATAACAAAGCCTGTGGATGCAGCAAGACAAAATCTGAAAAAGTTCAAGGTACGTTAACAGTTTTGTAATTACTGATGAGGACAGTTTGGCAAGTTTTCATGTGTAGTATGTTTAACTTTGTGGAATTTAATGAGGATTTTCTTGAGGGTGAGGAAGAGCCCTCTCAAAATAACAGACTAGGGCTTATCAGGTCTAAGAGGCTGTCAAGAAACACCATTAAACCAGCAGTCAGTAATCAGCAGAGTTGTTTTCATCCTGTAGTCAGACATTAAATGTTTTTCTTCTAGGGGTAAAAATGTAAACAGACCTAAATATACTGATGTATTAGAAAGTTTAGGTAAATATGTAATTTTTTATATGGTTATATGCTCTTCATCTTCCTTTACATATTCTTGACAGTCTTAGCTCCAGCAGGAAATAGCAACTCTGTCCTAAAGACTCACATATGAAGTGTCTGATCTTGTAGCCAAGTAGCATTTTCAGTAATGAGCTCATAACATAGGACATGAACTGTAAGCAAACTTAAATGACCACCACAAACAGGAAGCAGAACTGAAATCTAACTGCTTCCCTCATGAATGTACAGTAAGTTTCCAGAAGTAATTAACATTCAACTCAGTTTACATTTGTAGTCAATGTGAGGGGTTGATAATAGACATTTGGTTTGCAGGCTATAACTTGCAAACTGGCTTAGGGGATTATATAGAATTTTGTTTTTCAGGAGGTTTACTTTGATCCTCTGCAGAAAGACTTTTCTCTCCTCTGAAGTCTCTGGTTTCCCACCCACCTAACAGACCAAGGCCTCAAACACAAAGCACTCCACAGTGCTTTTCACCATGCACAAAGATCCACTATGAAACACAACCACACAGCTGGAAAGGCTGACCTCTCGGCCGGGGTTTCTGTCAGCCGATGGATGACATTAGTGCAATCTCTTCTTAGACAAATGGAACTAATCCAAACAAACAAAAAACAAAAGTTGATGCCAAAAATAAATTCCTCCCTATCACTGAGTTCTTTAACACAGAGCACTGCACAATGCTGGAAAGGTTGTGTTGCTTAAGATAAGAAAAGAGAAACCAGAGCGTAAAACGTAAAGTGAAACAGTTTATTGGGTGTAACTGCATAGCTTCTGAATACAATTGCTGAAGCTTTTCATCTCCACAGGGATAAAATGTAACATAGTACACTTGATGAGGAAATAACACTGATAAGAAAAAGAGCTTATAGCATCTGGCTCTAGTTTTGACATGTATTGCCATCAGAAGTATTCAAAATCCAAAGATTTTAAAGCTTCTTAAACGTAACTTCTCTGCAAAGAGCAACATTATGTTTCAGTTGCTATTTTATGAGTTGAATGATACAAAAATATAATCACAAAAAAAGCTTGATTAAGTACTTTTCTGTTAGCTAGGATAGCCATGCCAAGTATTCAACCCATGCCTCCTGTTTTTAAATTTGAACATTTTTAGAGTCTTAAGTGGAGATAAAACTTTTGGAAGCTCTTTATTCATCCCTCATTTACCTTATCTGTGATGCAAATTCAATGCCATTAGGAGCAGTGTAAGGATGGGACAGCTGCAAACCTGCTTAGCTGTAGCAGGGAGGCCAAAACGTCATCAATAACCATTAGCAGCTAACTGAGGACATCTAAGACAAACCCCAATGTGACTGAAAGACACCTGTGGGTAAATAAAGACTTGGACTGAATATACAAAGACACCATTGCACAATTTCAAGACACGCACTTTGACTGACCATATGTGAAGAGCACATGAAGGAATCTGAATAAGACTACGAAGTTTTGGGAGATGATTCAATCCATTAATGAAGCCAAACTGGACCTGTTTGGACACCTGGATCAGGTGTATGTCTGGCATTGAAGACTGATAATGAATGGTCAAGCATGGCGGTGAGTGGTTCTGTTGATCAGAAACAGGAATTGCAATCTTGATCATGTGCCTGGCCTCACGGATATTAACAAACACCATGCAGGTCATTCAAAAGAGGAACACGTTGCTCTCTGTTGAAAAATCCAACCTTCTGATCACTGGACTCTCCAGCAAGATATTGACCAGAAGTACGTCTCTGATTCAATCACAGATGATTTAGAAAAAAAAAAATCCCATACTTGAGTGGCCTTTGACAAAAGATTAAAACTAGGATGACAATGTTTAAAACCTAAACAAGGCAGTAGCAGCACAGAGAAGCATAATCAAACACAATTTCCATTTGAACTTTGAAGTCAAGTCAAAATCATTTGTATATCGAAACACATTTTGACATTTATTGTCAGTTTTCTTCATCCACATCAATACAGTGATTTGAGATAAAGAGGCTGGATATTTCTGATTGCAAGTGTTATTAGTTCAAACGGGTAATATGACACTTCTGCGTACTTGGTACATGTAAAATAACACATATTCCATTAATATGAAACACAACAATAGCAATATAATGTATATATGTATAAAGATCTCAATACTTTTTAAGTAAAAATGATAAGCTTAGACTGTGCAGCAAGAATGTGAAATATTTCTGTGATCATGATGAGGCTTGAAAACTTTCACATTACACAATTTGGGTCTTTTCCCTTTTATTCTTTATATCAGGGGTGGCCAAGTCCAGTCCTCGAGAGCCACCATCCTGCAAGTTTCAGATGCATCCCTGCTTCAACACACCTGAATCAAATGACTGGCTCGTTATCAGGCTTCTGTAGAGCTGATCCCGGTCTGTTGGAGTAAGGATACTTCTAAAACTTGCAGGATGGTGGCTCTCGAGGACTGGACTTGGCCACCCCTGCTTTATATACATCCACTTTCCACATTCCAGTCTTTTGGCTTTAAAACTTCCCCTTTCTGAACAGGACGTCCTTCAGGTGATGTCTGAGTCACTCTGGGGGATTTTTGTTGATCATTACTTGCTTTACTTGTTCTACACTCGTCATCTCTTCCTGTGAGTGACACTGGTCATGTGGCACCTCCACGCCCAGCTCCCACAGCGAGCTCTTGCCTTCAACCTTAGCACATTTAATGACACCAAATACTGCTTTCCGGAAGTTTCCACAAAACAAAAAATATAGAGGAGGCCTGAGGCAGGCACTGATGCAGCTTACAGCCGAGGTGACTTTCACAGCCGTTTTTAAAGAATTAATATGATCTACAAACACGTTTCTGAGAAAGTCTTTCGTTGTGTAGCAGATGATGTCTATGAAGAGAGTGATGTTGTAGGGGATCCAGCAGAGTAGGAAAGCTCCCACCAGAGATAGGATGAGCAGAACAGGCCTTAACCTGATCTGGCGATTGGATCTGCGTCGTATAATGATGTGGGAACAGAACACGATTTGGACAAGCGCAGGGAGCAAGAAGCCGACTCCAAGGTGGAGCGCACTTGAGATTAGCTGCCAGTCAACGTTAGTTTTGGGGCGAGGGTGAGCAGTGAGGGCTTTTCCTGGCATTGACTCAGTGTTGACAAGAAAAATCCCATCCAGGACGGTAAGGGTGATAGAAACGAGCCACCCCAGGAGAGAGGCCAGGGTGGCCAACGTGGCTCTGTGGCTTCTCCACTGGCCGGCATGTATGGAGGACAGGTAGTGATCCAGGCAGATGCAAACCAAAAGAAAGGCCCCAACATATAGGTTGATCTAGAAAAAGAAAAACAAAGTCAGAAGAAAGCCTCTTATGGAAGTCACTAAAAATATTCCCACGGCCTCAGGAAATGGACTATTTTATACAGTCAGTCACAGTTTGACTAGACTGGTTTGGACATGTCTGACATGCTTCAAGGATCTTTGTAGCATCTTTGGCTAGGACATATTCTTTAAATCCTGTTAAAAAGGTATTTAGGGCATCTTACCATCACTTCTGCAACAATGCCAAATTGTTAGCGTGTTATAGTTATGTACTAATATTGTCATAGTTAGGGGTTATATTTCTAACTTGGACTTGGTTCCATGCAGAGTTGGCGCTACATCAAGAAACCCATTGAATATAATTAACTTCCTTCACTTGCATCTCCCAGACAAAACCTGGAAAGCTCAGATAAGGAAAGTTCGTGTTCCCAGAGCAGTGTCTCATAAGAGATTTATTTTATAAACAGGATATAGACAGCTGTTGCAGCCAAATTATTTCCACAGACCAGAAATCTCTTTCACTTTCACTATCAGATTTTAACACAAAACCTACCTTAAAGAAAGCTCCAAAGACCATGAGGGCAGTCTGTGAGCAAACTCCACAGCTTTGAGTGGCATGGGCAGCATAGAAGGGCAGGGTCACCAGCAGCAGGATGTCCACCACACCTAGCTGGAGAAGAAAGCTGTCCGATATTCTCCAGGGTCGCCTCTTCTTAGCCAGGACTGCCAGGAGAAGTCCATTCCCCAGCAAACCAACGATCACCAATACAGAGAACAGAATCGGGATCCACACTGCCTTCCTTGCATCCTCATCTTCATATTCGTAGTTTTCGTCATAGTCGAAGGGCTGAGTGTGGTTAAACAGTCCATCCAAAATGACCATTGTAAGCTTATGAGACACAGAAACAGGAGAGAATTAAGAAGTGATGCAGCTTCTCAGCACCTCAAAAGCAAACATTTATATTCTCCAGTCTCTCTCTCCCTCTTTGCAGCAGAGCAGAACTATTAAAAAAAATATTCCTCTGGGAAATCCAGCTAATAATCCAGCCTATGTCTAAGACTCAGACTCAGTGGTGCAATGTCAATGTGACGCAATTAAAAAAAAAACCCAATTCCTGTTAGTCACTCACGCATGAACACAGTTTTATAATTCAATATAAATTTAGCCAGACATGGAGTCTGTCAACTCCATGTCAAGTTTGTTGTAAAACATTATTTATTTGAGATAAAGTCTGTCCTCCAAAAAACAAGTTGTGTTGAGCACATGCCTGACATCACATTAGGCATAAGAGTTTTAAGTACACACATTTATATTCCTTTTAATGGTTTTACAGCTGCTTACTCATACATATTGAATGAAATTCCTTCAAAAAATGTGTTCACTGGAAATCCGCAGTAAAACTTTTAATGTGTAAGCGTTCGTCAGCATTATTTACGACAATAACTTATCACGAGAACAAAGACAGATTGAAAAGGAACTTCGGGATTTATAAGAAAAATACATAGCCCGTCATAGTGTACACAAATACAGCTGATCAGCGCCATTCTTTGCCTCTTGTGATGTCATCAACTCAGAAACGAAAAGTAGAGTTGTTGTTTTTTTTTTTTTTAAATCCTCCTCTGTGCTTTTTAAAGTGACGTGTTTTGGGAAATCATGAAGTGGAAACTCACACTTCACAACCTCAGTGTGTTAGTGTTGAAAATGTCAATTCCAGCTACGCTTTCAACACGTTTACAGTAAGCTTCGGTCATTTGCATTTGACAACATACCGATACCTTGTCGAAACTAAAAGGTGAATGCAAACGACAGTTTTCAGCAGCAGACAAAAGAAGTTGTGCGAACCATAAAAGTGATCACTTACCGATAATCCCCCGTAGGGTTTCAGCTGCGGCGTTTATTGAGGCGTCACTGTGCAGAGATAAACGCAGCAGTTTGCAGCCAACTCGACTCGGACAGTCAAAGAGACGCTCCCGGATTTTGGTAAGATGCCAGACGTTTTGCAGCAGCTGACAAGCGGCTGTCAAGTTCCGCGGAAACACAACCCGCTGCTCACAGACAGACCTTGTTGGTATTCTTAATTATACGTCAGTGATGATGACTTTTTATCAGCAAACGAAACCCTTCGTAGCGACAGTTTGGGGGTGGATCTTCAGAAACAAAAAAGACACAGAAAGACATTAAGACTAACATAGGAGAACGCGCACCTGATCTGACTGTGAAGTAAAGTCACAGAATAAATTGAAACGAACAAAGACAGACTTTCTTTTTCTCACTTTGATGCTTTGGATTTTACAAATCGCTTTTTGTTTTCCCTTTTCTGTCAATTGAAATGACCTGAAGCCTTTTGGTTGTTTTATTTTTCAAAATAAATTCTGTAATGAAATATATTTACCTAAGTACAAATATAAAACTTATAAAAACATAACACAAACAATTGTTTGAATTTGCACGTTGCGGTTTTTTCAGTTAACTGGGAAAAATAACATGCCATAACGAAATATTTTAAGGAGCTACAGTACCATTTTGAAGACAACCTTTTTCTCACTTCCGCAAACGTCAGTGTTGAAGTGACTTGACATCCACTGTGTGAAAAACACAAAGCGATGCTGCACTAACAGGACATATCCACCAGAGGGAGCTGTTGTATCGGACTAAAAACAGACTTGTCAGTTATTTAGAGGAAAAAAGTAACAGGGTTTTCATTGTTCCAGGTGAAATTTATTTAAATGTAATATTTTAGTGGGAACAGTGGGATTAAGTGAGGAATAATCTATCGTCTGTCATTACGTAATGACAGATAGAAATCTGTATTTAAATATCTCAAGGGTCTTATAGCATTGATATTAGGTTATCCGTTTTCCAAGTGCATGTGTGGGATTTTTTTCTAGATATCAAAAACTTCCAAACATCGGTAGCAAATTTGTCTATCCTGTTTTTTGTTTTTTTTTCCTTGAAAATTAGGTTATATCCCTTGATAGACTGTGAAGTACACAGTGCGATCTTTACTTTTTGACAACTGAATATCTGGAGACAGTGGCACCATGCTTAATGACTGAAGAGAAACTTAGCTCTAAAAGTAGGTTCAGAATAATAGTTCCACTATTTTGGTTTGTTGTATTTTTTAAACATTTGGGTTTGTTGCCTTTCTCTAGTTTTACACTACAATATTCAGCCACGCCTCCTGGCTGCATAGTTCAGAAGTCCTCTTTCACGTACTTCTCATTTTGAACAAACCTTAATGTAGAGACAGTTCATATGTGGCATTAAATTTGTACAAAGATGACACAAAGTTTCACTGAGCATTACTTCAGGAAGCCTGAGTCATGCACACCTAAGGCCGCATGTACTACAAGTGGTGAAACCGTTGCTGTGAAAGTGTCTCATCAATAACACAGACATTGCTAAGTTGGACTTTAGCAAAGGGCTGCAGAGGCAGTAGACAAAGGGCCCAAGTTTTTTTTTTTTTTTTTTTTTGACTCTGTGAATTTCTTTTCTTTAGATTGAATTTATGTTTTGCAAAAAGAAAACAAAAAAATCTTTAAAAGAAATTGCTGAAGAATTATTAGCAAATTATTTTATTCTTTTTTCTGATTTTCATATTGATGGTTAATATATACCATTTTTGTATGTGAAGATATCATTGCCAGACTTCTAAAGTAATTATGAATTCAAGCACGCTGGATCACAGCAAACTTTCAGACAAACTTTAAGTTGAAAACTTAAGTTGTATTTTGAAGAAGTGTCACATTAATGGCGAGTGGCATAGTTACTGTAACATTTTTCAGCACCAGTTTCTTTGTAAAGCCAACCATTTTGTAAAAATGTTGCCATATTTCAAAGTAACTTTAAGTGGGCAAAAAAAAAAATCATTTTGTAAAACGAAACAAGTTTCATTTGTACCTAATAATCTGTCCATCATAATGTGTGCACAACCTGGGTAAGCATTCTTTGGCAAAATGTCTTGCATATATTAAATAAAACCACCTCGGAGAAACTTTTAAGGCTGAAATTCTTACCTTTATATTGTACAATGTTGCTCATATCTTTAGCATTTTTGGCCAAAGCTTTTAGGAGCCATAATGGAGGGTTTAAAGAGCAGATGATCCTATCAATCAATCAATCAATCAATCAAATTTTATTTGTATAGCACATTTCAGCAGCAAGGCATTTCAAAGTGCTTTACATAATTAAAATGAAAACAGCATGTGACATTGAATAAACAATGATAAAGAGAGAGATTTTAAGAAAAAGAAACAGGGAGAAAGAGAAATAAAAAGAAATTAAAGTAAAGATAAAGAGATTTTTTTTTAAAAAAAAGTTACTGATCCTAAATCCGGCCTTGTATCGTAATGAGATAATACACTGAATCTGAGCTTTTTCTGATGTTAGAAACATTTTAACATGTTTGAGGAACTTATTGATACTATATTACATGTATACTGGAGCATGGCTTTGAATTGTGTACTTTATAAAACAACAATGAAAACCTAAACTTCACCACAGCTGCTTTGTTACTTTTTATATTTTCTTTTTAAAAACATTCACCATGACTAAATGTCCAATATAAAATCATTCAATTTGTTAAATCCCTAATATAAACACTGAAGGCTCATTTTGCAAAAAAAAATAGGTATAGCAACAATAATATTTTGCTGACAATGCTTTTATGTCTGCAAAAATATTGGTATTTATGCCAACAATATGTTTTTTTTTTTGTTTTTTTTGCTGACCTAGCACTGTTTTTTGGCTTCAGCTTTAATTGCTGACAATAAATAGTATTTTTGCTGATATGTTGTGGATATTATTGGGTTAACCTGCTACAAAAACAAGAACAGGTTCTGACTAATAGATTTGTAAAGGTCAACTTTCATCCTGTCTCATTGCATATTTGTCTTCTCATAGCATCACTTGCATTGACCCAGGATTTGCACTTTATCGCTGCAGAAAGTCAAACAACATTCAGAGAAAGACACTTAATCTTAATTGCAAAACATTTATTTCAAAGAAATCATCCATAAAAAACATAGGGAAACTTTAATATGTACAAAATCCAGGTTCATTTCCTCTTTTACAGCAAAGTTTTATGTTCTACATATCTGTCTGAGACAAAAAAAAAGAAAAAAAAAACATCTAATGAAAAATAGTAAGATAAACCTTTAACACATCCAGCAGTTTAATATATACAGGTGAACCTCCTGAGAATTGAACAAGCAATAAATTGTGACAGTCTGAATGCTGAGTGAGGTCAGGCTTTAAACTGCTGAACAAGCTTTTTTAAGAAGTATGAAGAAATCCCCATATTTCTCAAGATGTAACCCATGGACAGAAAAATCTGCACGTTCCCAGAAACGCTATACAACATCAGCTTGTACAATCTATGCAGTACCACAATGTTGACAGTAAGACATAAAAAAACAACATGAAGAGAACTACGCTGACTTTTAAGCACCAATGTTAGATAAACATAAAATGTTGTCACTGAGAACATTTTCTGAAGTTTCTATATGTCAAAACCCACTCTCCACCACTCAGCCACATTTATCTCTTCATCTCTAACCGATATCAGATCATGACGGAGTAGGAGGTTTGTTCACTTTCTGCAGATGTTAGAGACCCGGTGCTTTTTCTAGATCTTCTATTCTTCAACCTTTCAATTCCCACCCAGCCTTTCTGCCCAAGCATCTCCTTGCACATTTTCAGCAGCTCCCTCCTGAACTTCACCCCAACAAAGCCGTACAGCAGAGGGTTCAGGGCACAGTGTGAAAGCCCCACGCTTTCAGTGATCAGGATCCCAATGTCCAGCACTTGGTTAAAATCGCAGCCCCCAGCCACCACACGCAGCTTCTGCAGGCTGTCTGCCAGCTGGAAGCAGTTGTACGGAGCCCAGCAGATGACGAACACAGATACCAACGAGATGATGAGACGGAGAGACTTGCGCCTTTGACGACGGGTGGCGTTGCACAGAGACCTGAAGATCTGGACGTAGCAGTAGAGCATGACGAGCAGGGGAAGACCAAAACCCAGACTCAAGCTGACAAGCTGCAGGCTCACCTGCCACTGGTCGGAATTCGCTGTGAACCATATTTGGCACACCTGCATCCTCTCGTCGTCGTTATGGCCCACTGGCACCACTTGTTTGAATGCAATGTCAACTCCGCTCAGGCCGAGGCACACCACCCAGATGGTTGCACATGCAAGCTGAGCGTGGCAGGTGTTGCGTTTCCACCCTGACCTGACGGCGTGAACGATGGCCAGGTAACGGTCGAAGCTGATGCAAGCCAGGAAGAGGATGCCGCTGTAGCGGTTCAAGGAGAAGAGAGCACCAGAAATCTTGCAAACTGCTGTGCCAAACACCCACTGATTGGCCCACTGCACTGCAAACAGGGGCAGAGTGAAGGCCAGCAGGAGGTCAGAAATGGCCAGGTGAAGGAGGAAGGTGTCTGTCAGGGAGAAGGCGCAGGCTCCTCCGCTCTGGGAGTTTCTGTAGCGTCTGATCACACACAACACCAAGACATTGCCAACAACAGCCAGGACAAACACCAGGCAGTACACAATGGGGGAGTAGTTCCTAGCAAAACCATAGATGCTCTCTTGATTGCATGGAGTTGCAATCACCTCCTCAGTTCCTGGATTATTGTCATAATCGTCGTCACTCTGGTTATCCAAAGGAGAAAAGAAGACCTCAGTTAGACAGAATTTCTTATCTATATTATTAACACATTTTCATTTCTGTTGGAATAACACAATTTCCTTAATTATAAGAAAACTAGAATGATTACAGAATGATTATTAAAGTGTCTACTTACACCATCATAATAATCAGTTGTTGTTGCTGTTGGATCCATGCTTGCAGAAAACAAAGAGGCAGCAGAACGACTGAAATCATCCAAGAGCACACTCAGCTCAAAAAAGCATCGGCTCAGCCACTGAGTCTGAAACGACGAGGGATCAGAAAGAAGAAGTCAAAAATTCAGGAACTGAATCTTTGTACACTTTGGACAGATGTGCATAAAACTATAGTAGGAATGGATGAGTATGTCAAGGAAATTGTGACATATTTTTAAGACGTCTGCAGACAGCTACAAAAACTTCTGCTTAATTCGATGTGAATATGGAACTTTTGAGGATGTATGCAGATTTTTAAAAATATTTCTACAACATTCAAACTGCATTTTACAATACCAAAAGTGAAAATTTGGAATTGACAGAAAAGCAGAAATAGCTTTTACTAAAATATATAAAAAAAATATATTATTCCCTGGAGAAATGAAAGCGCTTGCTGGACAGAAACATCAGTCTTATTTTGTTCAGCTTTGGTTTGTCTCTGTCTGGAGCAGTAATCTTATACACATTTATAGAAGATTTTTTCTAAATCTTCTATAGTTTTAAAAAAGCTTAGACTGTCAAAATTGAACTCATTTTCAATATTTACTCAAGAGATCTGAAGAAATGTAGGATAATATATATATATTTAAAAAAAGACTTACCTACTTTTGAGATTTTGTGAAGAAGAAGAAAGGATGTGACAAAATGAGGCGCAGACGCAGGGCAAACTAAACCAACATATCACAACAATAGCGAGAAATAAACAGAGCAGGATATGAAGTCATTTGCACATCTATGTGGTTAAAAAGTCCATATGCATGTGTTCCTATAAGATCATTTTTTTGTTCTGTTTTTTTTTTTGTTTGTTTTGTTTGCGTTCACCATGCCATCTGTCTGATACAATTCAGCTGAAAAGCAAACATCTGCTAACAGGAAACATGCAAAAAATGAAAAAGTTGCAATAACCTGGTTGCATAAGAATATCCAACGTGAAACCAATGCTTTGCTACATCACATTGATTCAGTTCCACAAACAATTAATTGTATACCCTATTCAGATGTGGCATTTCCATGTGTCTTGAGTGATTCTAAGTGAAAGAGTCTAACACTGAACATTCATTCCTGACTGATAGCATCATAGGTGCCTTGCTTTAGATCTGTATGAACACATAGCCATGTTCCAGAGAGGGATTCCACCTAAGCAGCAGTACTTCTGCACATATCATCTTAGGTATAAGTCACTGACATGCATTTAAATTACGTCTTTTGTGGTCATTTAAATGCATAAATTACCACATTGGACTTGGTGTTTTGGACATATCAAGTCCAGAGGACATATCAAGTCCAGAGGACATATCAAGTCCAGAGTTCCTGTGAACTGACAAAAGTGTCAGTTCACACGAACACTGACCCTTTTTCAGTGAGATTTCACAAAGTTCAAGAATTTTGTCCTCTGGATGAGTGAGTCTGTAATGCAGTGACTGTGGCAGGATCAAGAAACAATATCATTAAACTAAATGGAGAGAAAAATATCTCTCATGCATTGTCCTTTCCACTAACTCCAAAAGTACAACTTTTAAATAAGAAAAAAATCTTATATTTAGCTAATTAAAGATTTTTTTTAGATTAGCAGTAAGTAAAACCGTATAAGGAATGTTTTTTTTCATCAAAACCATTTCAGTTAATGCTGCTTAAAGAGAAAAATGTGTCCCAAAATGGACTAATAAAATACTGTTAATATCCTGTTTAGGGTATGCAGACTGGTTGTTGCAGCATTTTTTAATATTTGTTCCTGCAATACATTTTTGTTTTTTGTTCAGTTTTCCAAAATAAATGTCAAATTGGTGACAAACGTTCAAAAATCTGCAAACCTGCTAATATTCAAGGTTTCTGAGACTTTAAAACCTTTAATTTTAGCAGTTTTGCTGATTTTTGATGCTGTTTCAGTGCATTTGTCCTCTTTAGAAAAGTTAGATTTTTAAATGAAACAAAAACATATTTTAGGTTGGAAAGAAGGCTGAGTTCAGACAAACACAAGGTGACAAACCTCTGTGCCGCTTTAAGAGCACATATGAATCACACAGTGAACCACAGTCACCAACTGGGCAGACAGCACTAAAAAAAAATCCAGCCTATTAATTTGGAGTGTTGGTGTGATTTTTTTTTTAAAACTTTCTGAGGAACTGAGGACTCTTGTGGTTAGTCTTGTTTCAAGTAAAGCATCTTATCTGAGGGTCTTCTCGTAAAGCAAATGTTGCGCAACAACCAGCATGTTGTGCTTTCTCAAAAGATCGGTGTTCATACTCAACTCATATATTTTTAGATGCCATTTTGTCTTTGATGGGGGCCAGATATGTATATGTCGCAACAATTTTCAGTATAAATGCAACATTCTTTTATTTCTTCTCGATCTGTACAGATATACTGATATGCCTTTCTGACGGGAATAAAGCAAGACACAATCTGGTCAGAAATTAGCTTGTCACTGCCCTCTGGTGGTCAGACTCTGTAATTGAGAATTGTTGTAACTGAAACATTCTGAAGTATTTCATTAAAGAACTCGCATGTTTAAGAGATTTTGTAGTTAAAACAATATCTACAACTTCGATGAGACGTTTTTGTCCATACATGTTTAATGGGAGTTGTATACACTTTTTAACTATTTGGAGGAAATGCTCAGATTTCCTAATACATGTTTTTTACAGTAAGAAACAATAATAAACTGTAGTAAGTTAGGATGTATGTTTCTGTATATGGCACATTAAGTTGAACACAGGTGGTTTTCAAATTTTTAGTGATATTGAGGAAAGTTTAATTTTTCTATACTTATGTTGCAATCAACATGATTTGTCTCCATTGCATTAGTTTTTAACATGATATGTTTATTTTATATGATATTTGATCTGTGTTGTTTGAGTAAGGTGTGGTGGAAAAAGGGTGTTTTAAGAGGTTGAATTAAGCAACAGGTGCTTGTAGCACTAAAGATGCTAGTAAAAACCTGCTGCTAAAACAGGTGGTTATAGTTAAAAGTACAATATTAGAGTAAAATCAATATTCAGCACCCTTGGTCCAGGTCCAAACTAAAAAGGAAGATAAGCAATTAATGTCTGATATTTGGGATGGTATTGAGGATTTTGAAATAATCCAGGAGAGGAGAACATATAGCCAAAGACAATGCAATTAACAGTGAGCGTGTGTGCGGTTTGGTTACTTATTCTGTCTCTGTTCTGTTTCCAGTGGGAAGTAGTGGTGGAGTGAGTGCTGGATGGGTCAGCAGGTGAATGGTGTGGGATCTAGGAGGGCAGCTGCAGGAGAAGCAATAGGACTTGTGGAGGAGGTCCAGAGGACGAATCTCCCAACAGACAGAAGAGACGACGAAGGTTCAAGAAAGAAGCCGACTGTAGGAAAGAGAAAAGACAATGGTAAGCACTCATACTTGGAACTAGCAAGTGATATAATTACAGAGCCTTATTACTACATAATGTGAGAAAACAATCTGGCACTTACTTCAGTTAAATTTGCTCCTCTTTTAGTTCCTCCTGGTTAGTCTTGATGAGCTCCACCTAGTGGCCACACCTGTTAGTCACACCCTGCGAAGATGGAAGGTAGGGGAGACACACACCCACTCTCCTGCACACAACTTCCTTCATAGCAAAAATTCTCAAGTTTTTTGAAAAATCCACGACATGTTTACATATATAGTGGAAGGACAGAATGTTTTTTTTTCCCTGACATCACATTCAAATTATGTTATGCACATTTAATCATGCTGCCAAAACTATGCTCAGCAGTGGGGCCGCAGTCTTCAGGGTGAAGTATTTTTCATTGCACAAAGTGTTTTCATGCAAGAAAGTACAATTTTCTAATTATCTCCTCTCACATGTTACCTGTCATTTCCATTTTTGCAGGTCTGCAATTGCATTAAATATATTCAATGTTAAGATTCTGAAGTAAACAGCGTCTTTGAGACTTTGAGACATTTACCTGTTAGGCGTGATCTACATGAACAACTATTTATACAGGAATTGAATTACCCAGAGTAGGACACTATTAACAAATGGTGTCCTACTATTTAAATTACTATTTAAATTTCAATTACATGCTACTTTTGCTAGTCTGTTACATTAAATCACATGGGATAAGTTGAAATTTAATGTCATAGGATGGACAAAATGTTTGAGGGGAATACACACATTTGTAAGGCACTGAACATTTGTGCAGCATTTTCAAACATATAAAGTTCAGTTGTGAAAACAAAATTTATTATTATTATAATTTTTGGGGGTCTTCTGTTCAGTACAATCCCATTGTACAGTTTTTCAGATATTCTAGGACCTGTGTGCCAAAGGAGGTACAGCGTTTATGCTTCCGTGTTGAAAGATCTTTGTTTTATGACAACACTCTTCTGTCCTTGAGCTTCACAGTTCATGTTCTACCCTTTGTTTTCATTACACTCAGCTGGACCCCTCATCATGTCAACACACCACACCTCACCAAAGTGGCTAAAATATAAATAGCCTTCTTTGTTCCCTAATTACATTTTGCTGATAAAGTCCAGCAAACCCTTTCAAAACATGTAATACGCCCTAAAAGCTAAATGACTCTTTTCTATGCATAATGTTTGCACTTAGATGGTCAGACTGTTTGCTATGTCATATCAGCAGAAATTGTGCTTTGAGTTGTGTCTGTTGTCACGCCAGTTATAAAGGCAGTTGCTCTGCTTTTTCTCTCCAGTGATTATTTTCTGACTGTGACCATCTTCGACATCAGAGAAAATACTTTGAGACACAAAGAAGGTAATGTCTATAATATTTTCTATCACAGATGATATAAAGTTAAACTTGCTGGTTGATAAGTCTGAAAATATTCAAACTCTTCTTTGCTTTTGCTTTTAGCCATGGCATTCCAGTCTAATGTTGTTACCTCACAAACTACCCAGTACACAGTGACAACTGGACGTTTTTCAGACTGGAATACAAATGTGTGCGACTGCTGTGAAGACTGCGGCATCTGTATGTGTTTTTATGGCATTGCGAAAGGAAGCTGGTTACGTTTTCTTTTCCAATAAATCTAAATTTTTATTTGTTCTTCTGCCTTTCATCTGAAGGTCTATGTGGGGCATTTATCCCATGCATCCTTGGTTGTAAAGTGGCTCAAGATAATGGGGATAGCTGCTGTCTACCTTTCCTCCCAGGTGCCATGATTGCTTTAAGAACAAGCATACGCAGCAAATACAACATTGAGGTGAGTGGAAAAGTTGATCATTAAACAAAACAAAGGAGAACAAAAATAACATGCTAAATAAAAAAAAGAACCCATTTTGGCGGTTTTGAGTCTAGGGATCTTTTGTGGGTCTAAGATTTTAAGTATATGTTAAACTTAATATTAATTTTTCACAATTTGTCTGATGTTTTTGAATTTTAGGGCTCTGTGTGTGACGACTGGGCGGTCATGGCCTGCCTGCCTTTATGTGGACTGTGTCAGATGGCGCGAGAGCAGAAGATGAGAGGATAAACAGATTGCTGATTAATTTTTAAATAACTGTAAGAAAAAAAAGAAAAACAAAAACATTGCATTGTGAATGTTAAAAAAAGAAAGGAAAATTAAAGACATTTAATGTAAACGTATCTTGTATTACTTTAACATTTCTTAGTATTATACATCTACTTTATAAGCTGGGAACTGTTAATGACGTGAAGTGAAGGCAGAAATACAGAATGTTAAAACTAAGCTAAATGATCTACAAGCCTTATAGTGTTGAATTAACAATAAAAAAAGACAAATAAAAGATAGTGACATTTAAAACAGTACTGGTCCTTCCTTTTGCAGAAATAGTTTTGGACAAATAAGCATATAAAGGTTTAAAAACATTATTCAGAACTATTTTATTTAATTATGTTTCAACAGTGCATCACGTTTTATTTACAGCAATGTTTTGTACTTTTTGTATTCACTTGTGCTTACACAGTCACTGGTATTTCAATAAATCAAATGGGAAATAGCTAATTGTGGGTTTCGTTTATTTTAACGTCATGTACACTAGCTTTATCTGGAAGGACTTCAGTGGGCTGCCACTATCTTCCTCTTTCTGAATAAGTCCGTGTTTTCAGTCATGTAGCAACAGAGCTTTCTGAAGGAACAAGGTGGAAGGATCAGGGCTCATCTGAACAGGTAAGGAAGTGTGTTAGTAAGTTTGATGTGTTTTAAGGTCAGTCTGAGACACTAAATTTACTAATTTTCTTTAAGAGATAAAGTAAATGAGTAAGTGAATATGCTACTGTGCCTTTAATTTGAAAGTGATGTTACATTATCACATGACGGGTTTTGCACAATAATAGGTTCCTTAAAGACGCACTGTACAAAAAGTTTACTTGTTTACTTATGTCTTTATTTTACAACTTATGCTGCACTCTTGGACATTTTCCTCTGACTTGTTGACAAAAGTTTGAGAGGCAGATTAGTTCCCGATTCTGCTAACAACTTTGGAAATTCTCCAGGCTAAGGTAAGGAGAAGAAAAACTTCTAAATATTAAAATAGTCACGTGAGGCTGATGAAGCTAACAGTTAGTCTTACTCGTCACCAACTGCTGTGATTAGTGCATGTACTGGCATGTTAGTTTCCTGTTTCACATGGCATGTCTCTTTTCTTTAAAAAGAAAAAAATGAGCTGTATCCTTAAAGTGTAACTAATGTAATGTAAATATTATTAAAGTTATAATACTGCTATGCAAATATTTGTTATCTTGATCAAACTAAAGCAATATTACATTATAAATGTCTGCCAAATTTAGTAAGAATTATAGACCTTATTGCACATAATATTTAGAGCTATTTATGATTCACAGAATCTGAGCTGATAGAAGTTTATTTAGTCAGGCTATCTTCTCTAGTATCATACTGCAATCAGCTGGTAAACAGACATACACCAAGTACACCGACTGCAGTTTTAAAACAGTAATAAAGGTAATTGGAGGTTCCTAGTTTAGATTACATTCCACCAATAGTGGATATTGTTAATGGCCATCAGTATGTTCTAATTGAAAGATTTGTCTTTTTAAAGTTAAAAGGAAAAAAAAAATGAAATACCACGAGTGTGCAACAAATCTGTGCTGCTCCAAGCTCTAATCAGCCGATGAAAAGTCTGGTCATTTTGGCGCTTTCTCTGGAATTTAATTGAAATTACTTTTAATTATAGGATAATTTACAATGTTGTCATTTTAACTACCTTGGTGTACCTTCATATTACTTACTACCGTCAGTAAACTCTCATTTAATTGATATTTGGTGGAGCAAAAACAAACAAGTTTGAAATAAGCATTGTGAAGATTGCAGTGCCACAATGTAATTATACAAATGAGAGGAAGAAAAAGAGGGAACGGGGAGTGGGGATATGAAAGTATTGACAATAGTGTATTATTTTTATCACCAGGTCACAGTTTCATGACAAATACAACCACACCTGAATCATACAACTCCATCTGAAACTACAAGGAAACGGGTAAAACTGAAATTTGTCTTTTTATTTACAACTATTGCTTTTTAAATCATTGAAGTATTTAACACAATCTGATTTGAAATTAATCTCTGTTCACAGATTCACAGTGCAGCTACATTGAGGTCCCATCTGACATCACAAGAAAACCAACAATGGCAACGTTCAAAACCTTTTGAAGTCTGCTTTTCTCCATGTCATCTAGACAAAATGGCCACTCTGACTTATCAGCTTAGTCTGCTCGGACTTATTCTGTGTGCAGTTCAACTCATCAGCAGCTACAGCTTTAAAAGCTGCATTGCAGATCCATACTATATCCTGACAAGTTTCAAATGCAAAAATCGAAACAACACGAAAATATCTGATATTGTAAAAGATCTCCCAGGATCTGCTGTCAATCTCACAGTTTCTTTCAACCCTGTGCAGCACATTCCCAACAACAGCTTTGCTCATTTACCAAACTTACAGTATCTCAGTTTGGATAAGAACAAGCTGAGTGCTATTGATCCTTTGGCTTTTCAGACACTGCATCAACTTAAGCATCTAAATTTATCCTTTAACAATTTGTCAGACCTCAGCCCTTTATTGTTTCAGGACCTGCATAACCTCACCTCCCTTTTACTGACAAACAATGTTTTAAAGGCATTGCCTGAAGACATTTTTTCCGATGTTGCTAATCTAAAAACCTTAAATTTGAGGAATAACAATCTTACCAATTTTTCTGCAGTTGTGAAGTCTGTATCGCATCTAACAAGTCTAAAATTCTTAGATCTTTCCTCCAACAACTTGACTTCACTCAGTGATTCAAATATATCCCTACCACAATCCCTCAAGGTTTTAGACCTATGTAGAAACAATCTGCATACTTTGGGATGTAATCCATCACTCCTCAGATTCATCCAGGTGCTTGATCTGTCATTTAATTCAAAGCTTTCCACGAAAGCTCTAGAAGGAGTGGATTTGAGAAACGTAAAGAGGCTCCAGTTGCGGTCAACGAGTGTCAAGGCAGTGGAGTTTTTAAACATCAGCAACATCAGTGCAGGTCATGTAGTTTTCTCAGGGATGGGTCTAAAGAATGACAGTCTACTTATAGATTTATGCACAATGCTGAGAAGAAAGCGGAGTTGGATTAAAAATATAGATTTAACACATAATGGCATTCATAATGCAACAAATTCTACCTTTTCTGTGTGCCCTCAGATCATTGGAGCTTTGGATTTATCCAACAATGACCTGAATAAAGTACACTGCTTGGACTTTTTAGGCAAACAAGTTGGTATCAAGAAGTTTAATGCCGAGCACAACCATATTACTTCACTCAAAAGCTGTAAAACGATCAATTTTAACAACTTAAAAGAACTGAGCTACCGTTACAATCGCATCCTCTCAGTCAGTGGATATGCTTTCAGTCACATGCCAAAGATTGAGACGCTAAAGCTAAACATAAATAATATTGCTTTTCTCCATCGCAAAGCCCTAAGAGGGTTAAAAAATCTTAAGACCCTCCGACTGGACAATAACCTCCTTACTGATTTGTTTAATGACACATTTAAAGATAATTACAACCTGCAAATACTCAATCTGCGCAATAATCGCATTTCTGTCATATTTAATGAGACTTTTATGAACCTAAGAAATCTAATTACATTGGACCTTGGAGGTAATAAGATCACCCAAATACATCCTTCTGGCCTTGATGGGTTAAGAAGTCTTTCAAAATTCTACCTAGATGGAAACAACCTGAAACAAATTGATTCGTCACTCTACCATGCATTTCAAGACACACTTACAGTGCTGGATTTACAAAAAAATTTCATTCGTTTCTACAAAGAAAGTGTCATTTCACCATTTGTAAACCTCAGCAAACTCAGTGATCTGAAACTGGACAGCCAGAGAAATTATGGCCTTGTTGTTTTACCTAAAAAATTTTTCAAAGGACTCCATTCGTTAGAATCTTTGTACCTCACCAACAACAAAATTGATTTTCTTCCTCCTGAAGCCTTTGATGATCTGACAAGCTTAAAGTTCCTCACACTGGATAACTGTTGTGTTGGAGTGGCCCAATTGAAACCAGGAGTCTTCAAGAATCTCAGAAATCTGACCAGGTTGGTTGTAGAAAATATGGGAATTCAGAACTTCTCCAAGGATGTATTTGGGAATCTTACAAAGCTACGCATGCTTCAGCTAAATCGTAATGTGATGCAGAGCATTTCAGTAGATGCTCTTGAGAGTTTACCTAAACTCCATTACCTTGATATGCGTAATGTCCCTCTTAGCTGTACCTGCAAAAACAGCCTTCTGCAAAATTACACAGTAAATAACCCAAATGTTCAGATAGTCTATCTCTACGAAATGAAATGTCAAGTGGATAAAAAACAAAAATTTCACAACTTTGATACAAAGGTTTGCTATATTGATCAAGGAAAGTATCTGTTTTTCAGCACAGCAGCTGTGATCTTTCTGTTTACAGTCTCTCCTTTACTTTATGTCAAACTGTACTGGAAAATCAAGTACAGCTACTATGTGTTCCGCTCCTGGTTTAGTGATCACTGGAGGAGACTCAGGGAGAAGGAGGAAAAGTGTACATATGATGCTTTCATCTCCTATAATTTCTCTGATGAGGAGTGGGTCATGAATCAGTTGTTGCCCAACTTGGAGGGAAATGGATCATCTTTTAAGCTCTGCTTGCATCACAGGGACTTTGAGGTGGGTCGCTACATTGTGGACAACATCGTCACTGCAGTGTACAGCAGCAGAAAAACCATTTGTGTCGTGAGCAAAAACTTCCTCCGGAGTGAGTGGTGCTCTCTGGAGATCCAGCTCGCAAGTTACAGGCTCTTCGATGAGCACCGAGACGTCCTTCTGCTCGTGTTTCTGGAGCCAATTTCCGAGAGGCAGCTGTCTTCCTACCACCGCATGAGGAAAGTTATGTTGAAAAAGACCTATCTTCAGTGGCCTGGCCCTGACTGCACTGATCCCTCACAGGCCCAAGAGCTGTTCTGGAATCAGCTACGCAGGGCAATCAGAGCAGGCAACAGACTGGAAACCGAACAAAATGACCCAGATGAAGACTTTGCTCGAGCCAGCAATGAAACAGGAAATTATGAGAAACTCTTATCGGACGATGAAGATTATTTGCAACCTTAAACAGGTGCCCTTTGTTTATTGACACAAGTTATGTAATGCAATTGTAAATGTATATAAATTATTTTTTATGCAAACACCAATAGTAGTTAGCATGTTATGACCAATTTATTTCTATGTTCATTTATATTCTTACAGATTCTCAGATGTTCTGTCATACAGTTTTTTCCATAAATGTAGATCGTGTTTGGCAGTCACAATAAGTGAGAAACAACTTTCAAAACAGCATTTTCTAAACCAGAAAAAAACTCAAGCTTCTTAAAGAATTGTACACTTTTGTGCATGTATTTGTAATGTAGCAGTCAGCATAATAAAAGATGTTCTAAAGATGCACATAATGCATAATTGGTTGTTGCCTTTAATGAACACAAATTGAACCAAAAATAGTTTGTGATGACACCTATTGTTGTTTTTTTTCAGTTTAATACTACTTCAAATAAGCACACATGAATACTTTGTCTAAATGGTACAAAACTCAGAGAGCAATGTCAACAGGCAGTTGTCCATTCAGAGCTTAACCACGTATTAGTACAGTCTCATAGGAGGAAAAGACCAGTGCTCCGGACTTGGTAAGGATGAAGATGGAGGTACCAGGTTTCTTTCAAGCATGTGTGATGGGGGGTAGTGCATCATGTCAGTAGGATCGGGCCGGAAATTTTGGTGAACAGGTGAAAACTGACCAAAACCTTGTAAGTGATTACTCTGCGAGCGGCGGTGACTTTTTGATGGGAAGAAAGGAGCAAAATAAAACCTGTCAGTTTTAGATGGGTTCTGTTCCCGGGGAAAAACATGCAGATCTGCTGAATGTCTATCTTGGTGGGAAAAGAAAGGCTGGACGTTGCTGTGATGTGGCTGTTGCTCACTCAGCCGCTCTCTCAAGTTCCTAGTTTGGTTCACAAAATTGTTTTGAAACAAATCAAGCAAATCTGACTCTTGAGTCTTACATTTGCTGGTTTCCCAGAGTTCAAGCCCTGAGACATTGTCTTGTTGGTATGATATGGGAGAGTGAGCAAACAAGTCACTCACTGAAGTTCCAGAAGGCTCAAAGTCCATGTGAAGGAAGGGAGAGAAACCAGGTTTAAAGGTTTCATCCAAGGGTTTGACGAAGGTGTCCACAGGGTTTGCCAACTCTTCAGTAATCTTAATAACAAGAACAAAAAAAAAAAACAGAGAATATAGTGTCTAACATTAAAAAGCATTTAAAGAAATATAGCAATAAAAAAAAGTTAAAATGAAGTTTGAATGAAAAAGTCTAAAGATGAAAATACCCACTTTGGTTTGTTCTCTCAATCCTACTTTTTTATGCAGTCTGACATATATAATCCTGAAGCCATATAAATATTGAGCTGTACCTCTGTGTTTGCAGTGATAAAGATTGTAGCTTTAAGATCTATACCTGTTGTAGATTGTTGCATGTCTGAGGACTGGATGTCCAACATAAACGTTCACTTCCTGTGGTTTTCACAGATGCATCTGAAAGAGGGAAGCAAAACTAAATAACTGCTATAAATCCAAGAAGTACTCCTGCTTTTTAAAACAAATATAGACTATGTATGTATTGTAATCTATTGCTAAGCTACAACTCATGACATGAAACAATTTTCAACCCAGTTTGAAGCATCAATACCATTTGAAGCTGTCATGAATAAAACCAAAAACTGGATTAATATTTTCTTCAACTACATTTGCCCCAAAAGAAATCCCTTTTAAATAACCTACTTTCAAAATATTAGGTTATTTAAAACCTAATTTAAAAACAATTAAGAAAACCTTTGAAAAAGATATAATTTTTACTTCATTGATTGATTGATGTGTTCCTATGAAAAGATAAGATATTTTTAATGATTGTTCGCTACACAGCATATCATTGTATAATAATACTGGTCAAGGCCCAAGATTGCCATAGTATGAACATGAAGAGTAGGATGACCAAATTTTTCTGTTTTAAAAAGCCATCCAAACTGACGCCGTTATCAGAATTGAAGGGTCAAACTATGAACTACTATGTTTCTTTGAAAGTTAAATGATAAACATAAAATTAAGTAAATGTAAGTTTTTTTACCTGTAGAAAAAAGCTTGTCGTCTCTCATCATGTGTTGTTCTTGCTCAATTGAGGCCTGTGAAGGATCTTTATAAAATCTAAGCGTTCGCTGCATCTCCTGGAGGTTTGCTTGAAGGTGGGGCCCATGTCTCTCTTGCAGGGCTTTTAGTAACACCTCCCTGGTTTCTGACGATAAGTCTCTCCTGTGTGGTACTGGAAAATGCAGCCATTCACTCAAATGTTCTGCCACTTCATGTGTGGTCTTCCATACATGTTCTGGATCTTGGTGTAAGTTCTGTTGGTCAAAGTTGTCAGCAGAGAGTGAGGCAACATGTCGTGGACTTGATACTAGATAATCTGTTTCAGATGAAGAGTCCTGGTCTCCATTTATTGTCTTGTTCACGGTCTTAATTTTATCTCTAGTATCAAGAGGCTTTGGTTGTAAGGCTTTGTCCATTCCAGACATACTACTATCTGTGTGTTTGGTCTTTGTTGTTTGGAAGCGTTTTTTACTTTGGTCGGTGCTTTTAAAACTTTCACAAGAAGAGGGAAGTTGTTGCTGAAGTCTCTGACCGGATGTATCTGCCCCTGGATTGCTAAACTGCAGGTTCGTCATTTCAATATCTTGGGAGTCATCATGGGTCTTTGTAGAAGTCTTTGCTTTCTTTTTAACTGGTACATCAGCGTCAGCACCCAGCAAACCATCACTGGAGAGCAGAATGAGATTAGAAGGTGTGGATGATAAATAGGGGGTGTCATTGGTCTCCTCATTTGTTTTTTCTTCACTTTCTTCAAGTTTGCTCTGCTCACTTAGCACACGTTCAATATTGATGGACTTCACCTCATGGTTGAAGAGACCATGGTGTCCTAAGAGGCGGCTTTCTGTGATGATACTCGGCTCCTGTGTAACAGCAACAGTGCTTAAAATTTGTGCATTTTTCCTTGTGGGTAAATGACAATTGTGGTGATTGTTTGGGTAAAAGATCAAGTTCTTCTTGCTTTGGGAAAAACAGTGATGGTGGTGTGACTTGTTTTTTGAGGTCTCTCTCTTGTCAGCCCTCATCTGACATCTCTCCTTGCGGGTCCTAAGACGTTTTATTTTGTGCTGCTTGTCTCTGCCATGGATAAAATATTTTGAGTCTCCAGTCAGTGTGGTGACACAACAACACTTTTTATCTGCTGCTTTTGACTGATTTTTGTATGAGTATTTTTTTTCTGATGAAGACCTGCCACATACGTGGCTCATGCTGCAAGGGGATCTGTGGAAAGATAACATAAACTGATAAATGAAAATGTCTGTCTCCTCAGGGAAACTGCAACTGAGATTTCTCGTAGCTATTTTTCAACTATTTCAATTCTTCCATACAGGCGGCTGGCTATTTCTTGTTAAATTTGCAGTCATGTAATATGCTTTCCATTTTCAGACAAGGGATTGAACAGTGCTTTGTGAGATGTTCAAAGGTTGAGAGATTGTTTAATAACCTAACTGTGCTTTAAACTTTTCCATAACTCTAACCCTAGTCTGTCTGCCATGTTCCTTTGTCTTAATGATTCTATATGTTTATAATGTTTACTAACCCTGAAATAAATTTACTTTTCAAAACTGGTCTAATTTATTGAATATGACTGAATTTCATGCTACCCCAAAATAACATGAAATCCCCTATTTCATTGATTTTATGGGAAGCTTGGGGAAATTGTATTAACAAGGACAGCACCGCTGATACCAAGAGCATAATGGTTGCTTTAAAATATGTTTTCTTATGTCAACAGCAGTTTCCCCCAATGAAAAACTTTCTGTCATCATTATTGCTTTGCATCAAAAGGGCTCAACAAGCAAGAATATATCTATTTGCTGAAAATAATGTTTCAGGGTACCAAAGAAAGTTCAACAATTTTCAGGACTATCTCCAAACACCAAAGGGATTGAACAAACAGATCAGGTTGTCAGCAGTGCAGGACCTGCTTAGGAATGACATCTGGAAGGTGGGAGTGTTTCTAGAAGTACTAGAAGAGCACTAAAAAAGCCATCTTATTCAAGAAAATCATCAAGGACCAATCACATTCAGGATTGGGGTACAAATTGACTAAAGTAAAAGTATTCTTCATTAAAAAACAAACATGCAGAATAAGACTGTCTGGAGAAGAAAAGAGTCATCCCATGCTGACAGTGAATCATCCAAAAACCACTCAGAAATTGCCTAAAAATCCTGCATTAATTAAAAATATTATCAAACCATGCTCCAGAAGCGAGTTCGTCAGACAATTCAGGACCAATTCTGGCGATGAGCGATGCTTTTCACTGTACAAAAATGGAATCAACCTCAAAACTAAAGTAAGAAATAAGTGGCTTTGGGACCAAAGCATTAAAATCCCAGGTTCACGTTCATATCATGCTTTTCAAAACCTGTGAGCACTTTAGTAATGTGATGTACTATTCAATAAATGCCTTCATTAATTGATTAAATGTGTATTAACTTCAATGTATCATACAAACATCTGACAAATATTGCAAATGAATGTAAAGAACTAAACTCTGTACAACAAAAAACATTTTTGTCCGTTTTAAAACTTTTGGGGATGACTGTCCCCTAAATAAAGCTGACAGGGTGTTCTAGCATTTTAAACCAACAGTTGTACATTTAGGGGAACTGAAATTGTGCAAACATGGACAAGTGTAATTTCTAAGAATCTGTCAGCAGCTACTAATGCAGGGGTGGGCAACTCCAGGCCTCCAGGGCTGGTCCCCTGCAACTTTTAGATGCGTCCCAAATTCAACACACCTGAGTCACATAATGAAGTCGTTAGCAGGACTCTGGAGAACTTGACTGCACTTAGAAGGTGATTCAGCAGTTGGATTCAAGTGTGTTGGACCAGGGAGACATCTAAGAGATTGCCCAGAGATAGCGTCCTTCTCACAGAGATCCGAGTATCATCTGTTCAGGCTACTTTGGAAAAGGTCCACAATAATCAAGTCTATTCCTGCCAGAAATCACAAGTAACTAAACTGAGATGGAGCAGACGAAGCTCTTTTAAGGTGTCAAAAGCAATGGTGTTGAGCACCTTTGAGTTTTTCTTCAAACTTGAATTAGGACATACTTTTGATCCTGTTATAAAATCATGATGTAGAGCCATGTGTACCCACATAATTTTCAACAACGCTGATATATAGGAAGCTAAGCAAGGGCCACCTAAAGCACAACACCAGCAGCACCAACCACTTATAAGAAAATGAGTCACCAAGTGCGAGTCATCGGAAATACTAACTACAACTGAAACAGGGCATCCACAATCCTGTGTCAAACTGGCACACATGTGACAAAGAGTTTCCACACTAATTATATCAAGTCTGACAGCATTTATGGGCTCATACATTTAATAAATCCTTATTTCTGGGATCGTCCAATCAGTTAACAACGGTTAGCCAGCTGGTAACGTCAACCAACAGGTGTAATCTAATCTAAATCATGAAATAGCTGCTGTGGATTCTAAAAAACAAAACATGCACACACATATAAAAACGAATACATTTACTTTAAATTTAGGTTAATATTTAGTGACTAGAGAACATGAAGGTAGTATTATACAGTAACATAAAAGTGTTTAGACAACACTTGTGCCTTACCGAAATGGTCCGGTACTTTCCTCGTCCTTGAATCTTTCGTTGCTTGGCAACACACCGAATCTGCGTTTCTTTGCGCAGCCCAACTGCGCAGTACTGACACCCTCGAACGACGACAAGAAGGGCGAAACCATTTTTGACAAATAATGGGGTAGATCTGTCTCATTACTAATCATATTTTTGTTTAAACGGTGTATATTTTTGCTAATTTTTAACAAACTCCATGCCAGTATTAAACTAAAAACACTTATTGACCGTACTATTAAAATTAAAATTGAAAATGCGTGGAAATATTGATGTTATCGCTCTTTGGGGACAGTGGTTCAGGCACACACTCAGTAAAAATTGACTTCCTGTAACGGAACTGGAAGATATCGATATTTTTTAATTAATGTTAGCCATTTTAAATCATTATTTCTGGATGTAAGGGTTACTTAAAACTCTTGCGTACTCCATTCTGCACACAACAGCCTTTTTACATATTCAGTGCCTGGCCTTTTATGTTTTAAGCTGCATCTGTTTGTACTCTACCAAGTAGGCTAGCTATTGTGGCTAATTCTGTGAGCCTCCATAGATTTCTGTAGCATACAGCGGTTGGCGCTTAGCTGACTGGTGTGCGTTGTGTTGACAAAACAGAAACAAAACGCTACGTGACCGCGTTCTAAGAAAGGTAAAACCAAAAATATGAGCGCAGAAGCCTCAAACCCAGCCGCCACACCCACTCCCTGTGAAGACAGTCAGGGAGATGGACGGTGGATGTCTCAGGTATGTGACACAACGTGACCGTCGTGAGGATTGGGTTATTTATTTATTTCGATTAAATGCATATAAGACCATGCAAATAAAGGTAAACGCTATCCTTTACTAATGCTGAATTTCAATCATCTACTAGTTAATCTGCTGAGATTTTTCCACCCATTACCCCAGTCTTATTCCAAGCAATTACCCTCAGCCTCCCAAAGTATAACCAAATATGCAATGTTGTTTTGTTTGTTTGTTTGTGTTTAGTATTTATAGTTTGCATAATTTTGACGGTTTGTGAGTAATCGAATTATAAATATATTCTCTCCTTGTAGCACGTCCGCTTTGTTTCTGAGTGCAAAGAGAGAGAGCCAGATGTCGTATTTGTGGGAGACTCTCTTGTTCAGCTCATGCATCAGTTTGGGGTAACATCACAGGACACATTCATCCACAGTTCTACCTTAAATTAGAATTTTAAAAAATGTGTAATATGTAATTGCACTGAATACTTATGTGCTCAAGTTTGCTGTAGTGAAATTAAAACAAGATGCATCAATGAAATGGAGAAAGAGAACACTGTAAGAAGAAACAACACGCGAATGCAGGATCCCTGGACATGTATAGCTTACTGTAGCTGTAGATAACTAGTGCTTATTCATAGTATAGCAGAAAACAGAAACATAAAAGACTATTCTGTCAGATTAAGACAAATTTAATACACCTGACTGTGCAAAGATTAAAGTACAAATGGACAATGAGTCAAAAGAGAGTGTCAGTGCAAACAGAACAAGTCGTATAATAGACCTTTTCATATGTGAAGAAGTTGTATATTCTGCAGGGCTTTAACCAATCACCTGATTTCTCTAGACAAAGCAGTGTTTATTCTACAGAAGACAAACCACACAAGGCCGGAAAAGAACCCTCATTGATAAACAACTGAAAACAGCTGAAGTAAAAACCTGAAAAATGACAATTTATATAAAGATCTACATTTAAGCTCATTTAATTTGTTTGAACCTGCCCCAAAACTTTCTTCTATGTATTACAGAGTTGCTATTTATGAGCACACTATATTTAGTGGTCATTTCAGCACCTTAAAATGAAAGTTTCTAAACCTGTGTGCCTGATATAACTGTAAGCCAAGATGCATAAAGTAAAAAAACAAAAATGCAAGCCTATTTTGATAAATTCCCATATGTTTTTCTACAGATATGGCGGCAGTTGTTCTCTCCTCTCCATTGCCTTAACTTCGGAATCGGTGGCGATGCAACGCAGCATGTGCTGTGGAGGCTGACCAATGGCGAACTGGATAACATCAGTCCAAAGGTTGAGAACCCTGCCGGATATAGAGAACATGAGCTCGCTTGTTTTTGCTCACAAAAGACTGCTTGTGCTCCATTTCCAAGCTCCAGGTACAATGACGCCAGACTATCAGTGACATGTGCTCAGCCTTTTGTGTTCTGTCTCTTTTTTGTTGCTCCAGGTCGTGGTGCTGTGGGTTGGCACAAACAATCACGGTCACACAGCCGAACAGATTGCCGGTGGTATCATGGAGATTGTCCAACTCATCCACAACAAGCTCCCCAACGCCCACACGCTTGTACTTGTAAGTTTGTCCAGATAAATGCCTCTTAGGAAGTGCTTAATCAACTTACCTTCATGACTGGAGAAAAAAAAACAAATGAAATTCACACAACCATCAAACTATAAAGTTAAGTCACCTCTTTAAGTCACATCTCAGCTTTCTCAATTATTGAAAACATCAGTTTCCTGGAGACAGTGCGGCTTAACACTGGATTTGTTTTGGAGAGGGAGTTGAGATTGTGTCAAGAGAATGCATGCTTCACAGCCTTTTAAACTTTTAGGTCTTTCATGTAATATGTACTCAAGCGCGGTATATTGCAAGAGTATTCATACCTCATGAACTTTTCTACATTTTGTTACATTACAACCACAGACTTTAGTGTATTTTTTTGGAAATTTTAGGTGATTGACCAACCCAAAGCAGCACACCATTGTGAAGAGGAAGCATATAACAGTGTGGTTTCTAAAGTCTTTTACAATTAAATCTAACAGGGTGTGCGTACACCTCTTAAAAATATATTCTCCAAGTATTCAGGATATATTTCTACGTTTCTGTACGCCTGTGGAGTGTAATTTTTTTCTAATTCATCTTTCAATAGAACTAACCATAGTCAGACTAATTAGGTGGTGTGTAAGCATTTAAAACATTTTTAAGACACTGTCATGAAAACACTCTCCTACATAGTTGAAATATTATGTGACAATTGTATCAGATAGCTGGATATCATTATTATACTTTGAACATGTATTTGTTTGAAGTGGAAATTAATGTTATGTTTAGAAGCAACTTTCCATCAGACTTCTTGACATATGTAAATATAATAACTGTGTCTATCTACTTATCTAAAGTTGCTCAGGAAATTACACCATCTCTTTTTCAGGGTGTACTTCCCAGAGGTAGAATGCCAAACCCTCTACGAGAGCGAAACGCCGAGGTGAACAAGCTAGTCCAGGATGCCTTATCGTCTCTGTCCCACGCCTCCTTCTTTAACGTGGATCCAGGTTTTGTCCTTTCGGATGGAAGCATCTCCCATCAGGATATGTATGACTACCTTCACCTGACTGCTCACGGATACCAGGCTGTGTGTGAACCCCTGCATGCTCAAATCAAGTCTCTGTTAGAAAAACCGGCAGAGAACTGAGTATCCGGCTTAGAAGCGTACACTACCACAGTGGTCTTCGTCCCTGTTTTCAGAGAGCATTGCCCTCAGCTTTACAAGGCTTTGGATGTTGGATAGAATCAGCTAATTATAAGGGCTAAGAGCATCATTTAATCTGTATAAGCCTTCTCTATAACCAGGGTTGGTGACCACTGTTATTGATAAACGGACCATAAGGTTTTTTTTGTGTTTACGATACAGTCAAAGATGAGATGTGTTGTACTATAGAGAGACGGTGTCCTTCTTGAACCCCTATAGCTTCGTATTCCATCTCTTTTAGGTTTTTTTTGCATGAAATTTATAATTGTCACTGTTACAAAATACACAGATGAACATGATAAAGGCATCTCCACACAGGACTGGTGAAAGAAAATCGGATAAATTCACATCCTCAATTTCTCTGAGAAGACGTTAGAATTATGTCAACTTTCCAGTTGAATCCATTCTTCAGACCAAAACATTACACTGCAGAGTAATTGAATAAGTGTTGCACATCTCATCCCTTTTGCTCCAGGAACCTGCATATTTTCTGATAGATTAATGAATGAAATATTTCACTACTACACTGCCTTTCTGACGGAACTGGATTCAATGCCCAGTTGGAAAATGGTTTGAAACCCGTCAGATTTGTGCCAGAATTTGCATGCATGCTAGAAACGGCGAACCCTCTCACTTGACCTTTTGTTTCTTTGTGTCAGTAATTTCTATGGGTTGGTTTTATTTTATTTTATTTTTTTCGAATTTGATTTTGCTCTTTGTGGTAGGAAAAGCTGAGGTGGTATACGAAGCATTGAAGATGGCTTTGCTTCATGGTGAACCAGGAATCTTGATGAAAGTTTCTAGAAACAAACTGGAAAACAATCATCGTTCATGATGCAAAATCAGACAGTGCTTTAAAAATGTCTGTATCTTTACTGTGATTTTATTTTCCTTTTGTATATGTTAAGTCCAATGAACAAAAAGTTGTCTTTGTGGTGAATAGTTTACCAGTCAGTTTATTTTACATCATGTCACGTTACCTCTTTGCCTTTATACCTTTTTCTCCTCACGTATTGTAATGGCAGTAGAGCTCCATGTTAGTGGCTGTATATTTCTTGTGATCATAAATGTATTAGATTCATCTAGTTGCTTGTGCTTCAAATTTGAACTTTTCTGCAACATAATGGCTCGCTCGCCCATTTAAGATGCTTTACTTCACACTATGATGCCTGGGAGCCGCTGGGATAAGCAAGGTGCCACGGAAACTTGAAATGGTCAAGGATGAGTAATTGTGCAAGTAATGAAAGAAATGCATTAAATTTTCAAACAAAACGGTTTCAGTGTCGGCTGGCTGATTTTATCTGATCTCTTTTTGTTGAAACTGACATTCTGACTGCCACTGAACCAAAGCTGCAGTGCATTTTCATGTCTCCAAGATTGATTGCTAACCATTAGGTTCAGCAAGAGTACACACACAGCGAAGCACTTTTGCTTGCACAGTTTTGTTCTTTTCTCAGGACACGGTTTTAAAGAGATATTTACCTTTCTGAAAACAAGAACATGTTATGCCCTGTTAGCTACATATCTCAAAAATCCACACTATAAACTTCAGACTTTTAACATTTTGCACAAATGCCAAAATAGTGCACATGTACTGTATGGTAAGGCCCACTTATGTTTTACCCACATGAAATCCAGTGCAACTCTAATTTTCTCATTAGTGAGCTCATTAACACTAAGTTGTAATTGAAGATCATTATTAATCCAGTTTTTCCATAAAGTCCTCCAAGTTTCTTTTAGAGAACAGAGAACATGTCTCTGAACAGGTCAGGGAGAAAGTTGTAAGTTTAAAGCAGGGTTAAATATCTCAAGTTTAAAAACTTAGTAGAGCTCCATTCAGTCCTCTGAAAGTGGAATGGAGTATGGGACAACTGCAAATATACCAAGACATAATGGTGCACTTATAAAGATCCAGTTGGGAATAGAGAGATCAAATATAAACTTCCTGGTTAGGTCTACATATTACAGTAACAAAACACCTTATTTAGGGAGAACTGGTGGCAGTGTCATGCAGTGCTGGGGCTTTTCTTCAGAAGTGAAAGGAAAATTAGATAGAATACAGGGGAACATGGGTGAAGAAAAATACAGGGAAGTCATGGAAAAACTTCCTTTGTACCCTGTTGCAGGGTACAAAGGAGTAGGGACTGCGGTCGAGGTTCACCTTTCAGCTGGATAGTCACGATGAGCAAACAGCCTAAAATGTAATTGTGTGGTTCAATTTAAAACACGTTTATGCATCAAAGTGACCCAGAAGTCCAGAACAGGGGTCCTTTAAAACCTCCGCAATGGGTTTTAATAGCTTTGGCTAAAAATGCTAACCAATGTCTTTTGATATAACAGCAAAATAACATAAGATTTTGAAATCAAGGACAATTTTATTTCACACTGTAAAGTAATGCTAAAATTATTGAAATTCTAACTGGTTAAATGAAACATAAGCTTGAATTCAATACTTCAGTAACAGTAAGTCCATGTCAGATTTACATGACAGCAGTAAATCCATCGACCGACATCAGTCGACATGGTGGCTGCTGGGTCTGAAAACATGCTCAAATTTAAGTTGTATCCTTAAGCAGTTTTCTTGTTTTCTTTTTGGTTTGTTTTACATGACGCTTTAAAGCATCCATCCATCCATCCATCCATTTTCTGAACACCCTTGTCCCTCAGTGGGGTCGGGAGGGGTGCTGGTGCCTATCTCCAGCTAACGTTCCGGGCGAGAGGCGGGGTACATCCTGGACAGGTCGCCAGTCTGTCGCAGACGCTTTAAAGCAAGTCTCAAAAATAAACAAGTAAGATGAGCACACACTAATATAATTTATAATCAATGATTTCAACATACACAAATCAAAAGTAATACGATCACAGGTTAATCTTTTAATGAAAAAATTCCAAGGTTTCGTATTTCAGGTCAGTTTAAGCTGCTATTTTCTCACAGCTACAAGCTATTACTCAAACCAGATAAGATTTCTTGGCAAGTGTTCATGTCCTTTCTCAAAACATGATGGGTGGGACAGGCTTCATCCTGCTGGCTGGGGATGAATGTGCTATGGATATGATTTCAGACACAAACAACACCAACCTTTATAAGGAGCCAGGTGGACTGGTGTAGATCTTAGTTTCTTTCCTGAAATTGTAGTTAGGAGCAAGAGCCGGATTTCTTTTACTGAACAAACTGAAGATCCTGACTTCACAACAACATGGGGCCACAACAGATTTTGCTGCTTGGGCTTGGATTGCTCATTCTGATTGACTATGGCCAAGGTACTGTATTTATATACTCTATATATGTACATTTATAGTCCTTTTAAATCTTGGTAGTGTTCTTGCGAGATGTTTTCATGCTTTATTATATAGATATTTTTTTCTCTTCGTAGGTCTTTCTCAGATTAAGGAAGAGTCGCTGGTTGATGGGCCAAATACTGACGGTATGCAGAGTCGATAGTCAGTAATTATAAAACTCAATTTCTCTTTTACTTTACTTTGCATTTGTATTTGTTACAGTCTTTGCTGATGGACTCCATAAGATAACTTCACGTTCAATCCATGGCAAAAATCACAAGAAAAGATACTGTCGCTGTAAAAGTGAGAAAAGTCTACTATTGAAGACCAATACTACAAATAAAAAAGTATGTTAGCCTAATCCGTTCTCTTTTCTTCTTTTCCCCTCCAGCTGCTGCAACAGGAAACGGGTCAGAAAAAACAACTTGCCAGTTCGACCCTGCACAATGTGAGTTCCTCACAGTTTTACTTAAACACAAAATAAACTGCATGATTTTAAATATCCCACAAATAAATGACTTTTTTTTTTCTCTATTCATTTATTTGTTGTAAAAACTAGGGGAGCAGTGCGTGGAGATATGCAAGAACCCGAGGAGGTGCAAGTCGAAGCAAGCCAAACTCCAACATCAATCTAGCCCTCTCTGAGCAACGAGACCTCCTTGTGGCATGTAATAATACATACTTTATGACTATCAAGTAACTTTTTTATTTTTTTTATTTTCATACATATTTTACATTTTAAACAAAGTGCTGATTACATTTTGCAGACAGGCTGTCCATGTTAACACAAAATTGTTATAACCTCTTCAATAAAGTCTCTATAATCAATGTTTCTGTTTATTTTATTGATTAGCAAGTAAAAACCAGTAAATAAGTGTGTAATAACATTACCTTAAATTAAATATGATAATTAATTAATAATTAATTGGTTATCTAAGAAAAAGATCAGGTATTAAGTGTGAAGAATCTGTAATTTGTGCTGAAGGATTTGCAGGCTATTTAAAAGGATTGCACTCATGACTCTTACTGTAAGACAGTACAGATATGCCTTGTACCACGTTTGCACATGGTACAAGCCAGTAATAAAATTAACAACAGTGACAGAACTGGAGAAGCATATGAATTATTCAGTTTTAACCCAGAGATTGTTGTGTCATTTCAGTAGTAATATTGTGAGATTGAAGGCTTGTAGCGGGAGCCAGTGGTCCGTCGGGCAGGACTCAAAGGAGCAGCAGGTGAACAAGGACAGGACACAAACCCATGAGCAGCACAGCTCCTTTGTTTGTGATGTGGTTTGCAGAGGCATGATCTGATAAACAACAGGAGTAAACAGAAATGTTAATAGATTGTAAAAAAAATATTACATAATTATAAATTTTTCACATTTCTTTGACACCCTCTTTGACAAGTACATATCAAAGTTATAATTTATAGTGAAGTCTTTTAAGAATAACTTGGGGGGGAAAAAAAGCCAGAAAAATTTGGCTTTTCTCACCAAGACTATTGACACTACCATGACAACACGATATAAGGAGGTTGGGCCAGTAAGATTTACTCACTTTCAATAGCAAAAGATTTAGTTTGCGTCATTGTGACGTTTGTCACTGGGTTTGTTGCGACGCATATGTAATCCCCTACTTGTCCTCTAGTTGCAGAGAAACTGACAACAGATCCTATCTTAAGAAGTGATGATTTATTATTTAAGAACCAGTAGAAGTCACACTCCGGGTAAGAGTCAACAGTGCAATTCAGAGACACAACGGCACCATCTTTTGCTGACCCTGGACCAGAGATGTTCATGTTCAATGGACCATCTGCAAAAAGAAACAATATGTTAAACACGTTAATACTGTAGTTTAGTTTTTTGAAACAAAATCCCCAAAGTAACTTTAAATTCCCCTTTTTCAACTTCCATATATACACCAACAGGCCAATATGTTAGGGACACCTGTTCACACGCTAAACGTAAATCAATCAAAACCATAAGGTAGCAACTCAAAAGATTTTAAGCATCTATACTTGGCTGCAGCTGAGCATTATAACAAAGTAGAGAGGGGATTGAGAGGGCATGGCTGATGGTATCTTAGTCTGAGTACTTCAGAAAAATCTGATCTATAAGGATTATTTCCAATTTACAGGGGGAAAAAAAAAACTTTGTTGATGCCACAACAGACTGGGCAGTTTAAAATGATAGAGAGGCTCTAAAGAAAAACATATATAAATATGCAAAATACTAGTTATATAAGGTATTTATTTTCTAAATGCGCAACATGTCAAACCTCGAAGCAGAAGACCACACCAGGCGATGCTCCTGAAATTTCTCTTCTATACAATAACAATAAAGCATTCTGGTTCCGATTCTGGTTCTTTTAGCTAAGAGCACAAAACTATTCACACATATTCACCATTCAACATTCAGACTGTAGTGTTGGAATTTAATTTAAACAACCTGCAAGCATAGTCATTAAAATCTGAGGTATATTTTTGCTGACTGTGTTCATCCTTTAAAGACCACAATGTATCCATTTTTCTATGGCTGCTTGCAGCAGGATGATGCACTACGTCAAAGCAGCTAAATTATCTCAAAATGTTCTTCCTCTGTCCCCAAATGACCTTTGTTAGTTTTGTCTTTATATGGACTAAAGTCTCACAAGAGGATTTCTGACACCTTGTTGAATTTAAAGAATAAAGTCTGTCTTAGAGATAAAAGGCAACATAAACCCAATGAAGTACTTGGTGAATGAATACAAAACTAAAAATGTCAATGATTCAGCATAGATTACAATTCACATTTTCTAAAAGTTATAAAAGAAAAAACACTCAACTTTCTGTGATACTTACAGTGAACAAGAAGTTTGTACTGTTGACTCTTATGCAGAGCAGCCTTGTTGGTTGCGACACACTGATAGGCCCCGTTACTCTGTGTTGTCAGCTGGGTGAAGTGCAGAATGTTGTCTTCAGTAATGTACAAGGATGGGGCTGGATCGGAGGCATTCAGGCTGAGCTGCATGCCATCTTTCATCCAGTAGAGGGCGTCATAGGGCCCAACAACGCGACATGTGAGGGTAAAATTTTCATTGCTTATTGGAGTCAAGTTGTTTTGAATCATCACTGAATCTATTCCCTCTGCAAATTCAAAAGAGAAAAAAAAATAGGATATACATAGGGATTAAGCATCATAGTCAGCATTGTTATATTTGAATAAAGTATGTTAAAATGTCAATTTTGTTATTATTCATTTTAATTTAGGACTTAATACCTATGACAGCGAGCATTTTAGAGGTTGTGCTGTTCTTCTCTGTCACATGATTGTGGGCCACACATGTATATGTGCCACTCATGTTGAAAGAAAGCGGCCCAGCTGTGAACTCTGAGGTATTGGCCATCAAGGAGTCATTAAACCACCAACTGTAGGTGCTGGGAGGCATCGATGCGGCAGAACAGTTGAAGACCGCATTGCGTCCTGCTTCCCCAAACTCTGGCCCATGAATTATGGGTTCATCTGGTCCAACTGCAAAACATCAAGAGTTACATTGAAAACGTCTTTATTTCCTCAGTTTTTAAAGTGTGATATTTACGTACAGCTGAGAGCCTTTTTTTTTTCTTACTAACTTACACCCAAAGTTTTCTTGTTACTAGCTCAGTTGTGTAAGCAAAAGTCTTCTCTCTCCTATTTTTCAGACATTTAGCAAATAGAAATATTATTTGTGGTTCTAACTGACCAAAAAATACAGTTTTAGTAAGATATAATGTAAAACAGGATAACTTTGTATCATGCACAATAGAATAGAAATTGTCAGTACATAAATACACGAATTTAAATATTCCACTTACAGATGACCTGAAGCAGGTAAGCGCTGCTCGTCAGGTTTCCAACGGGATTCACAGCCATGCATACATAGTCTCCAGCATCATAACGATCTACTGGCATAAAGTTGACTGTCTTGTTGTCCATAGAGAAAACAGTGCTGTTGTCTTGATGAATTTGTTCACCATTTTTCATCCAGTAAATATTATCCACATCTCCAGTTACATTGCACATTAAATTATATGAGTGACCTTCCATGGCATCCGATGTTAGTGTATCTATTTGTACATTTTTAATTGATGCTGAAAAGGAAACAGTACACAAAATAGTTAAAAACTGGCCTTTGGTTAATGACGTTGATCAAATTGTGTTTGTTTTACATAAACATAAAAACCTGGATCTACATCATCTTACCAATAGCTGTGATTGTTATGCTGGCACTGCTGTTCTTCCCTGTGATGTTGTTGAAGGCCATGCACGTGTACTTTAGACTCTTCTCTTCAGTGACAGGAGGTGTCATGTACTTTGACATGTTGGAAACCAGAGTATCATTGAAGTACCATCTGTAGAAACTTGGTGGGTATGATGGTGCGTAGCAGGAAAGTGTTGCACTGCTTCCTGGCTTCACTGCTTTTGGTCCTGAGATAGTTGGCATCTTTGGTCCATCTGTGTATACAGATAAGTTTAAAAACTTTTAACCTCATAAACAATGCACTTGTTATATTTTATCTTCTAAAATTACAAAGCTAAGTCATCTAACATGACAGTGTGTGAGAGATTGGTGACATCTGGTGGTTTGATATTGGACTGCATTCAGATTCTTTACCAAGCTTGTAGGAGAAACTCAAGAGAATCAAAATATTAGTTCTCCAGTCTTTGTAATGGCATTTTGGGGGTGGAGACAATCCTGCTAAATTCACTCATAACAATGTTAAAAATAAGGCTTTGAGAACTTTCTTGTTGGTGTATTTTTGGGACTTGTATATGTCTAAATTAGACAAAACATTTACAAACAAAGAAGAATGGAAGCGCGCAAGTTTATTATTGGGATAAGAATTGTTCAAAAAATGAATATTGACTATTGTACACTAATTTAAAAATGTAAATGTTTCATTAGATTATTGACAAGATATTACGTGATACGCTCCAAGAAAAAAATAAATGTTTAAAACTATTATCAAAGAATGTATGACTTAGTGAGAGTTAAGTATCATACTCACAGATGACATGAAGCGTGTAGTCAGCGCTTGTCATGTTTCCCAAAGCATTTACTGCGACACATTGGTATTGTCCACTGTCAGAACTGTTCAATGCCAGGAACATGACTGTCTTGTTGTTCATATCGAAAATGGTTGTGTTGTCTGCAAGCAGCAGATTACCACTTTTCATCCAGTAGATATAATCAGCAGGCCCAACTACGTTGCACGTTAGATTATATGAATAATTTTCCATGGCAGAATTCATCTGAGCTTGTATTTCCACACTCTGTATTGGATCTGAAAACAGAGCACCACCCACAACAGTTGAGCTTTTGGATTACACATCATCTCAGTAAATAATAAAGAAAAGGAATATATAAATTTGAAAATCTCCAGGCAAGTCTCACCAACAACTGCGAGCATCATGCTGGCACTGCTGTTCTTTCCAGTGATGGTGTTTAAGGCCATGCAGGTGTACTTCCAGCTCATGTCTTGTGTTAGAGGAGGTGTCATGTACTCAGACATGTTGGAGACCACAGAACCATTGAAGTGCCATTGGTAGAGACTTGGAGGCACCGACTTTGCATGGCATCTGAGTGTGGCATTGTCCCCTGTCTGTACTGCTCTTGGTCCCATGATGACTGGCATATCTGGACCATCTGAAAACATTGACATAATCTTAGCTGTTGACAGCTTTAGGATGACAAAAGAGCTCATTGTCATCATCATGTTTTACTTACAGTTGACCAGGAGCATGAAGGGTTTGCTGGCCATGTTTCCTACAGCATTAGCAGCCAGGCATGTGTAGTTTCCAGTGTCATTTCGCTGCATGCTCATGAAACTCATTGTCATATTTTCCATGAGGATTGTAGTTCTGTTGTCAGGATTCAGTTTTTCACCGTTTCTCATCCAGTAAATATGGTCAAAAGTTTCATTTACTCTGCAGGTTAAATTATAAGGATGACCTTCAACAGCAAGATTCATCTGAGCTTCGACTTGAACATTTCGTATCGGATCTAAAAAAAAAAAAAAGTAAATTCACAGTTGTTAAAGTTCTTTTTGGTTGTTTTTCTTCCCAAGAAAAACAGAAAATAAAATATCAATCTAAATCTCACCAACAACTCTGAGCATTATGCTGGCAGTGCTGTTCTTCCCTGTGATGGTGTTTAAGGCCATGCAGATGTAGTACCCGCTCATGTCTTTGGTGAGTGAGGGTGTTGTATACTCAGACATGTTGGAGACCACAGAACCATTGAAGTACCATTGGTAGAGACTCAGTGGAACAGATTCTGCTGAGCAATTGAAGGTAGCAGTGTTTCCTGACTTCACCACATTTGGTCCCATTACAGTTGGCTTCATTGGTCCATCTGTAAAGATACAATAACTGGATTGGCCTTATAGACATTTAGCATCTTTTCTCAAAGCAAGTATCTAGTTACATGTGTGTAAGCATTTACTTTACAAAATGATTGATATTTATTATCTATAGTCCTGTGAAAGCACATTTTCCCCTTACATATTTTTTCTAGTTTTGATTTTTAGTCACATTTAAACGTTTTATCAAATAAATTGAATATCAGATAAATATATCCCAAATAAATATAAAATGTAGCCTGGCCTGATAAGAAAAAGTTATTGCTTTGCAAGCTTATCAAATGGTTGAGCCACCATTTGATAAGCTTGGGCAACACTACCATCAAGCATTTGTAATTACTGACAATGCCACAGCATCTCAATTACAATTAAGTCAGGACTTTGACTAGGCCACTAAAGAACTTTGTTTTGTTCTTGCTCCGACTCGGAAGTAGACTTGATAGTGTACTCAGATTTATGAGTATATTTAGTTTGAACAGCTTTTTCCCCTTGATACACAACATATTCGTTTGAAATCTGCCCTTTTCTATTTTCTTTGTCTGATATCTGAATAATTTATTGTTTTAAAATAGCACGAACAGATTAGATCTGTAAGGAGACAAACACCTTTTCACATAATTGCCTTTGATTAATTTTGACTAATAAAGAATAAAAATCTGTTTCTTACAGTTCACTACAACAGCGAAGGCGTCGCTGGTCAAGTTGCTCACGAGATTAAAAACGTGACACATGTAGATTCCACCATCAGAAAGCTGGACTGGATTGAGCGTCAGAGTCTTGTTGCCAAACGTAGTTCTATTATCAGGAGTTATTAGGCTGCCGTTTTTCCACCACTGGATGCTGCCAACAAGTCCAGTCGCTTCACACTGGAGACTAAATGCCTCATCTAGTACTGCTGGTCCTTTAGCCTCACTCATGACCACTGCTGATATCGGATCTGTTAGAGAAGGAGCAAAGAGGTAGCTTGAATATACACATATGAATGAGTTAAATTATTCTATGTGTTTTTGGACAATTTGACATTATAATCCAGTACGTCTGCATTTACAGTTTTCATAACAAACATTTATTTGTTAAAAGAACATTTAAAAATTAGTATCAGTCACCTAAGACTCAAGAGATGTGCTCTCTGTGTCATGTGACCTACTCTGCATTGAGCTTAAATATCTTAAACAGCAGTGTTGAGAGTTGAAGCACAAATTACTAAACCTCGTGGTGTTCAAAGCAAAACACAGTTCAAGAAGCAGCATAAAATTTTCAGTATGTTCTGTTCTTACATGTTTAACTGGAAGTGAATTAATAATATTTTAGTCATATCAAATCACAGGGTAAAAGTGCTAATGTTAGCTTAGCACAAAAGCAAACGGCTCAGGGAGAAAACATTCTTTGTAAAAAGTGTCTAACGTCATTTTGGTCAGTCACAAAAATCTGGTTTAGTTCAAAGAAGAAAGGAAACAATATGCTGGAGCTTCTCATACCATAAATCTGTGTTAGACACAGAAGGATGTTGGTTAACCTAATGGATAAAATGCCTAAATAAACAACGACTGATGGAACGTGTGGTGGACGCAGTACAATGTAGGGCGGAGTGTTCAAACCAATGTAAAGAATAAACAAAAGCTGATGTCCCATCACCCAAAAGGAAGTTCTGCAGTACACGCTTCACCCTCATTACAGAGGACAGTCACATGTGACAAGTCAGAATGACCTAAAATGACTCAGAGGACTGAAAAGTCGTGTCTTCTTGTGACTGTTTAAGTGATTCTTTCAGCTATTTCTCATGACCCAGAAACCTTAGTCATTATGACCTGCATGGGATTCTACACCATCTACTTTGACCTCCAAAGACTACAAACCTCAGTTTCATGTTTTACAGTACAAGTTTGTGTCAGTAGCAGGGTTCTTATTTCTGCAACCAACTCAATTTGGTGTCAGATTAGTTAATTTACATACTTCCAGTTTACAGGAAAAAACATAACCTGCCTCCAGACCTGAGCACGTTAATCTAATATGAACTAAAGTTAAACAAAGAGAGAAAACCTACCCATCACCCGTATCACTGTACTGTCACTGCTGAACCTCATTGTGACCGTGTTGTGAAACAAACATTTGTAGGTTCCTGTGTTGTTTTCTTTGACGTTCTGCAGGTGAAGCTGTAACCCAGACTTGTTAAGGTTGACTCCATCCAACATCCACTGGACCATTGCTGTGGGTCTGGACTCCACGGAGCACCACAGTGTGATGTTCGACCCTGATCTGTACGTGTGCTTCACGGGGTCGACTGTCATGGTTGCATTGTTTGGTCCATCTGATGAGACAACAAAAAAATATTTCATGTTCATGTCGCAATTACTTGAGGAGGATCCCGTGCATTTTTATTTTCAATGAAACTTACAGCTGACGTTCAGATGAATAGGTGAGCTGACATTATATCCAAGTCCATTGGACACATTGCACCTGTATGGTCCCTCGTCATAGCGGGTCAGCCCGGCTATGCTAAGATTGGCACCGCCATTGCTGAGCAGCACACCTGCTCCAGTTGATATTTCTGAGTTTCTTGCCAACCATTTATAAGACAAAGACGTCCCGGTGGAGACTGAGCAAACAAAGACCGCTGTATCGTTGAACTCCACCAGATCCGTCCTTTGTGCTGATAAAGTCACATTTGAAATTGGCTCTGCAGAGAGAAAAAATAAGTTACTTAGTTTTGATATCTGCTTGAAGACATCCATCAGGGTTCATCTGAGATTTTACTGTGTGCTGTAACAAAACACTGCAAATAATGCATATGGATAAGCTTAGCAAGCTACTGATTAATAGTTTAGCTAATTTTGTGTCAAAACTTTTTGCCTCAACCTGATTTACAACTTACACAAATTATTTTGTTAAGTCTCATGAGGCACAACGGAGGGTCAGATGGTGACTTATCAAGCAGTTCTTCAAAAAAAAAAAAAACATTTTCTTCATTGGTGTCAGGAAAACATGGTCACAGGTCAAAATTTATTATTTGTTTGTTACTGGAATATTGACAGTGAATATTGTCATCTAGACCAGAAGCAATAAATTGTTTTGTTGATATTAAGCATTTAGAAACACGTTGATAAAATAGATAAAATACTAAAATATAACAAAAAGGAAAGGCAAGAGACTGTTGTAAAATTATTTTTTCCCACTGGAATTAATTTACTGCATCTCCTAAATGAGAGGCTCAGTGAGCTGAGTTAAATTGTGAAATTCTAATTGTTCGAAATGAAATAAATTAAAAAGAACTTTTGTATAGGAAGTCGGCTTTGTGTGGTTGTTCTCATTTTCCATTTAGCCTACACCGCCCTCCACAAACTTTTATCCTGGCAGTATGACCTCATGATGGAAAAATGTCTGCGATCATTAGAGATTAGGGATGAAATGTTATCATGGAGGCTGATGTATTATGCAATATCTTATTTGAAAATAACATTTATGTTATAGAAAGGGTCTTTACAGACTAATTTTTAAGATGTGGTGAAGTTACTGATATTTTTGGGGTTTGAAAATAACTAACATTTTCTCTTTTTTGATCTTGTTTTTGCTGGGAACCTGTTTTTTCAATCAGTCATAAAGGTTTTACTTAAATAACAAAGTTTAAAGCATTGAAACATGATCTCATTTAATGTTTAATCATGTAATTGTTGTGCATAGTTTAAGCAAACAGAGTAAAGCAAAAGAGAAAGCAATATTACATGTATGCTCATTAAAAAGATAAAACAAGTCTTTTCTTTTGTCACAAACACACAGTCCTGGCTCAGTAACATTTTTGACAAATTAGGGAAATACATTTAAACAATGACTCTGGTCCTGACCAGTTTCCCTGTTAGATGTGTGTCCTCCAAAAAGACAAAAGTTGAGAACAATATCTTGACAGCAGTCTCGAATATCCAAAGGCTGCTGTCGTTTTGGTATAATTCATTCAAAAGCTGCATTTGTCTCTCATTTGAAGTTTTATCTGGTGCTAAAACACTGGATTTGGGGCTTAAACGATTGTTATTGTGTTTTGGTTTGCTTGGTTGATTTATTACCAAATGCAAAGTGTTATTTCTACTCTGGAACTAAATGTTTCCCTGTCAATGCAGATGGTTTGAATTGCAAATAGCTTCTGTGGAAATACTATTCATTCAGAGTTGTAGCATTAATTACATAGCATTGTCCAGGGTGTTCATGCACATATGCTAAGAGTCTTATTTAACATTCTGCTCCATTAAGAAGTGTTAGAGTATTCTTACCTTGGACTGACAGCTGCACCTGAACAGAAAACTTGTCCATTTCTTCTAACTTGTACACACCAGAGTCGGCCAGTTGTGCTGATATTATAGTCAGAGACGATGTGTTGGAATCATAAATAAACCTGTCACGTTTAGCTGCACTTAAACGAAACCCTCCAGGGTAAATTAATGCCAGGAGATTGTTGTCAAATGTCCATGTTCCCAAGGTAATGTTGGTATTGCTGATGATGGTCACGTTGCTCCGCAGTGGTACGGGGTTCTCAGAAGGATATATGATTTGGCTGTGGACAGGATCTAGAAACACACATCAGAGAGTTTAAACAATCAGTCAAATTTAATTAAATATTTAATTAGTTATGGAAAAAAATAATAAAAACCCTAATATTGGTATTTCTAAAAATTTTACCAATTTTTTGTCTTGATTTATGATGGAGCGATCCTTAATCAAATGAATGGTTCAATTTCATAAAATTAACACAATTTAAAAATAATGGTGAGGTGTAATCTTCGCACATTAATCTAAGTTAAAGTAAAAGTCAAGTTTACCTGTAAAAGTTATTGTGGTGAGGATTAGGAAAAACAGTAACGGAGACTCCATTCTACTCCCCAGCTACTTCTTTTCCAACCAGAACTGCTGCTTTGATAAATCCAAACCTGGAGATATTATTAGATCAGAGCTCTTCAACAAGCAAATATTTGCTCTGTGCTCTCTTGATGCTTCCCCAGCCTTCTATTGCAGTGGCACATCACAGTCGCTGCCTGCCACGCCTTATTTTGCCCTGATGCACTGAGTTTTTACAGGTGCTCACATAGGAGTGTCAATTTACTGTAAACTCATGTTCGTCATTTTTCAACTTTTAATCAACCAAAGCCTCACGTGGGGTTATTTTGAGAGATCACTTTGAGCCATGTGATCGCAGAATGGTGGCATAACATGTCAAAAGTCTTCAGATGTGAGCTTATTTTCTTACAAGCAACTTAATGATGAAATTAGTGCTGAAACAGGAAAGTTAAAATAAATGTGAAACATATTTAATAAAGAAATTGTAAGTAATGCTAAATTGTTTAAATCTCAAACAATAAATTCTGGATGGCATTTGAGTTGTCCAGCCATAAAATGAAGAACTGACCTGAACATATTAAACGTTGACAGGCCTTGTTAGAGGTCACCGGACTGTTCCTGTCTCTTAGTGGCCATGTCCTTCCCCTTGCTTTGTTTACTATAACCACAAACCCACAGTGATATCATATTTGTCTATGAACAGACCTTCCCATTGCTCCTAGAATAAAATGGTTCAATAAGTTGAATGAGTTAGTTTGTTTTCGATGGAGTGTCGTTTATGCATTGAACAGTGATTCAAGGTTAAAGTATCTCATATGACTTTTGTGCTTGGAGTCTCTTTCTGTATATTGACAGAGCTCAAAAGGGTTTGAGCAAACAGATAGCCACAATGGTTGGCAATGACTTGAAAAGACTGTTTGATGTCTGTGATTAAGGGACAAAAGGAGTGGCTGGTAATGCACCTGCTGCTCTGGATTTATTATTTTGAATTTGTGTTTTTACTCATGAAGTCTTATTGGCTGTTTTATTGTTGGTTTTTTATGTGGCAGATTGTACAAGTGGATTAGTGAATGTAGATGCTGAAATGAGTTTCCTCTATAGAGTGGCTGGGCATCAGCGTCAAATATAGGATGTGGATTTACACATCCTATATCACTATCAAGGAGCAAAGAGAGAAAAATGGGATTTTTTGTGAGTAAAAAGCATTTGACGTATGGTACATCAAGAAAGTATTCAAACTCTGACACTTTTTATGTTTTGTCTCATTAGAGTCTCAAACTTTAGTTTGTTTTATAGTAATTTGATATGAAACATGAACATAAAGTTGTGCATAATTGTGAAAAAGATGTACAATGATAAATTCTCTTTTAATTGTTATTAAACCAGATAATTTTTGGCCAGGTGTGCTGAAGCTTGACTACATGCTAGTGTAAGGATTTGGTTGTTTCTGTATACTTATTTAGGTTTCTGTGTTCTGTTGAGTCACTGTGTTGTCCCGTCTAACCCTTGTCCCGTCTACAAACTGTTCCTTGTTTCCTCTGATTGTCTCCCTGTGTATTTAAACACACCTGTGAAACTTGTCATCTTGTCTGCTGTCAAGTCAGTTGACGTTTGTTCATTTACTACCAGAGATTTGCTCCTAGCTTTGCTCACTCTGTGCTGCCTGGATTTTGGGTATTTGAGTACAATCGTCATTGAATCATAATTTCTCACCATAACCAGGTGGGTCTGCTGCATCTACCTCACCACCTCATAACCGCTAATCCTGACAGCTAGTGAGACAGTTTTACTATTTAATTCAATTCATTGAAAAATTGCAGGACTCTGACTCTTGAAAACTGTAGTTTGAGACCACTTATGTTCCTCAGATTTCTCATAACTGTCGTCAACTTTTTTCTTTTCTTTTTTTTTTGCTTAACTCACTTTGGCATATTAATTTTTCTTTTGAAAAAGAAAAACAAACACAACACAAAATATGTAAATTAATCATCTTTTACCTGTGGCTGTATTTATAAAAGAAGAAATCCAAGTTAACACAAAGTTTTTGACCTGACATAATATTGGGTTTATTGAAAATGTTTTACACTCATTATTCACAGAATGATTAAACTGGAAAGGATCAAAGATGCATTAGAAATATCTGAAGCAAAGATAATAAAATTAACAACTTTAAAAGGTATTTATGACATATCTGAGTAATTTTTGTTGTTGAAAATGTTATCAAAATGGTATCAAAAGGAACTAGAAAACAGAACCTAAGACACTGGAAACTCATGAAAACGTATTAAAACTTGCAGCAATTTTAGCAGAATAAATGTATTGATAACATGAATATGTACAAACCAGATGGTAATGTCACCTTGTTTTATTTAAATTTAGCTAAATGATTAAATTAAGATTTTCCCATTTATTTGTAAATGTGTGTCCCATTCCTTCAAATCCTTAACAAATTATCCACATGAAAAATCGAGATGGTGCAGCGTTTCTTGATTGAGTCATCTAGAGACTGAAATAGCCACAATGACCTGTAAAACAGAATAAAATTATAGTTATTTGTTAAATTGCTAATGGAAATCATTCATAGGACATGTTTCTATTTTAAAAACTTTAGCAATTTTAATTCATTTGACTCTTGACTAAAATTAGTAACACGTCCATTTGCTCTAAATCTTTTCAGCACTTCTGATTGTATTAGGCTTTATTTGGTTAAAGGAGGACAAATTATCTTGTTGAAAATGAAAAAGGAAAAACATGTCCAATATCACATTTTAAACTGACAATGTTCATATTTTTAAAAGGTTTATAGTAAAAAAAATATTGACAACTTGCCTGAAAGTGGCAAAGCGAATCCAGCCAACAACAGCAGAGGAAGAAGGAAAACGTTGGCTTGCAGTCGTTCCGACCCTGAGCAGGAATAAAGCAATAATTACAACCTAATCTTCATATTTGAATAAAGTGCTGAACATGAATTCTGAAACCAACCACATACAGAAATATTTTAGAATAATAGTTTTTCAATATGAAGGGGTAGATATACAAACATCATCTGCAATACGGAAGTTTATTAATGCATTTAATGCATGTGCTTTGGGCCTAATGTTGTAGAGTAAATTATGGACATTATTAGTCTTGAAAATTCTTATCATGTGTTCATGAATCTGAGTAGAACAAGTTTCAAATGGATTCCTGGCTTTAGAGCATGAGCTGACTATCACATGCTGTTGCTGGGATTTTAAATAGAAAACAAATAAAACATGTTTAGCTCCATCATATGCTGCCAGTGTGTATCATAAAGGACCTTGAGAACTCCTTTAATAATCTTCAGAAAACCAGATTTATGTCCATTTTAAAAACACAGTGGTCTACCTGAAAGGTGTTCTCCTAAAGCCCCCTGACTCAAACTAATCCAAGAAGAAAACTATGAATTATGAAAATATTATTATATTTTTTTTATCTCTAAAATAAGGAGAAACTTACTCGATATTGTGATGTGTGTTGTTACATTGTTGTACAGGTTTGTGCGGCTGTTGAAGGCCAGGCAGGAATATGGACCACTTTGGTCCGGTCTGACGTGGAAAAGCTCCAACATTGTCCCTGTAGCATTCACAAGATTTCCCCTGAAGCCCCACTGAAGCTGAGCAGGAGGGTTGGACTCTGCCAGACAGAGCATGCTCAGATTGGACCCAGCAGAGAAGACAGTGGCGTTCAGTCCATTCACTGTGAGGCGCATGTTATCCGGGCCGTCTGAGGAAGTGACAAATAAATGAGCAGGAAGACGAATATACTCGAAATCAGCACTTTTCAGAGTAAAACAACTGGCTGTGTAGACATAAATCAACAATAAGCCAACTCACAGCTGACAGTGAAGTTTACTGAATCACTGGTCCCATTACTGATAGGATTAAATGCTTCACATCTAAATGGTCCTGAATCGTAGCGGCTCACTCTGACAATATTGAGAGAGGAGTTTCCGTCGGTGAACTGAACTCTGTCAGCGGCTGTGACCTCAGAGCTGCCGTTCATCCAGCGGAAAGAGAGAGAAGATCCGGCAGAGACGGAGCAGCTGATGAGGCCTGAGGCTTGATGCTCTATCAGATCGCTCCGATTTACTCTGAGGGTCACGTTGGAAATGGGCTCTGTGGGAGGAAAATAGAGAAACTGTCCACAAATTTACTTTATAGGAGAAACTGGATCAGCCTAAAGATAATAAATAAAAGTTAAGATGTTATTTATTAAGCAGTCTTTTAATTTAAGGAGTTTAAAATTTCTGCTGGTGTTGCTGACATTGATCTAAAGCAAAAGTCTGCAACCTTCAGTCCAGTTAAAAAAAACTTTTTCTGCAGCCTCTAATGCTACATGACTTTTTGAAATAAAAAAAAACAATGTAAGCTGTCATATTTGATTAATATTTGCTACAATAAATCTGTTTTCACTTTTAAAGAACCAACATTTTATCTTTGTGGATATGTTTTACAATTAAGAAAAATATCAAACGTTTTTATTATTTTACGGTAATAAAGCAAAAATTGAAATTCGGTTATTGAAAACAAACTAAAAATAGCAAAAATCAGTGTTTAATAGAATTCTAATTAAAAACATTAATTTATTTTTAGTCATATTTTGCAAAATTATAAAGAACCACTTATAGCTGAAGCTCAAGACTTTTTTTCACAAAGCGCCTTTTTTAAGATAAAGGTTAAAACCATTAATTTCAAATAAGAATTAAATATCACAAGCAACTTTTAGTTAACCTGAGAACTCTTTCAGTTTTATATCTAGAGCTATATATTACAGGTAGTTTATATATGAAGTATTCATTGTTCAATGCCTTATTGAAAGTATTGACTCTTCAATCTTAAATATGATTGGTCAAAAAGAAACACTTTGATCCTAAAGAATACTTAGTAAAAATACCATAACATGATATTATTTTGAGCTGAAAAATCACAGTAAAGTTTTCAAGTGCATAGATTTGTTTTGCTCACTCGGAAATTCAAACCTGGACAGCTTTTCTCTTGTTACTTATTCCTTGAAATGTTCTGTGAAAGTATATGTTCGAGTGCACAGCAACACAAAGGAAAAGGGTGAATGTTGACACTGGAACTAGCCAGAGGGCACAGTCTCGTCTCCATGACACCTGAGCGTGAGCCGGTTTATGACCGCAGGTAAATATCACAAAACAGAAACATGAATTCCTGTAAATCTCCTCCCTCTTTGAAGAATTTGCTGGAATGCGTTTTCATAACAATAGAAACCTGTTCCAATGAAAATTCATCAGCACTTTTTCTCCTCAACTTACTGTTATGAAATACTTATAATTATATCACCTTGGGTGGTTCAAATATAGACAGTTTACATGTAAACGTATAAAAGGGGAGACATTATAAAACGTAAACACTTCCAGCATATTCTCACCTACAACAGTGAGGAAAACACTGGCCTTCAGCAGCGGGTGGCCGCTCTGCACCTGATAGAGCCCTGAGTCGCTGACGGTGAGGGCGCGCAGCGTGAGCGCTCCACTGGTCACATTCACAGAAGCCCTGCCGCTGTAGCCCGGAAAAACTGCCTGCTGCTCCCCGAGCCACGTGAGGATGAAGGTTTCATCCACTGCCCAGTTTCCACTGGTCAGAGACACAGAAGGAGTGAGCGACAGCGTCACTGTGCTCCCCACAACCGCTGGGTTCCTGGAGGGCTGAATCTCCACAGCATCACAGGAGAGAAAACCTACAAAAGCAGAAAATTAACTAAACATCCTACACATAAATCTCACTTTAACATTTTTAGCATACTATTTACCATGTACCTTGAAGTAAAGTCAAAAGAACAACTATTGAAGCTCTGCAGGTTCTTTGCTCCATTTTTGTTTTCAGTGGTCTGACAAACTTTTTCTCATTTCGGGTTTGCTATACCTTTCCACTGTGTCCAGCCCCCGACCCATAAACCTGCCCCCTCACATCTTATCTGCAGGTGGTCTTAGCTATTTTGTGTTAAGTTATGACAAATTTACCAAAGGTGAAAAAATTTTGTTTGCAATAATGGGTGAAGTTCGGTTCAAAGATAAACGATGGCAGAAGGCATGTGGGTGATAATGGGCTGCAAAGGGGCCAGGCTCATAGTTCGCCCTGAAAACACATGTTGAAATTTGGATTTCTGGTCACCAACAATGTGTTATTTAGCTGATGAAGTTGTTTCTTATTAGTTCAAGTGTTGCTGGAGTCTTCATCTCAACAGATATTTGACCCTTTCCGTACACCTTAGAGCAGGGGTGTCAAACTCAATTTCACCAAGGGCCACTTCAGCATATTGGCCACCCTCAACGGGCCACATTGACGGTACAAATCAGGAGGGCATCCCTGCTAAAACACACCCCAGACAAAAGGTTGACTTCCCTCATTCAGTTCTGTAGAGGCTTATAATGAGTCAATGGTCCAGGTGTGTTACAGAAGGAATCCATCTAAAGATGCAGATGGTAGCTCTGGAAAACTAGACTCGGGCACCCCTAGCATAAATGTATAAAAATACAATGTTAAAAATAAATTAAACACCTAAACTATTGTTAAATAATTGATTTTATGTATTGAAGTTTTAAATATTACATTTGAGTTTCCATGGATGTAAAATTACTGCTCAGTTTAAAAATTACGATATTTAAATCTGTGTTTAAAGGTAAGCAAACAAATAATAAAAACAAGTCACATGGGCAGACATTATAGACTTTACGCAAAGATTTAGTCTCAGGCAACTGAAACCAATTAATTTAAAAAATCCTTTCTGAATATCATCTCATGGTCTCTGAACTAAATGCGTCTTTCTGACCGAGAGCTGACAGCGTGTTGAAGAGTTATGGACCGGACGCTTTGCAGCGTCTGGTTAGGAAGCGCACTACAAACCTTTGGTTGAAATGGAGCGTTAAATTCAAGTCTCCATTACAGACCAGAGAAGTCTAAAAAGAATGCAACGTTGTGCTAATC